CTTTCCCTAATAATCGAAATTATAAAACAATCGTGTTTTAATGACTAACATAGTGAGATTATGTTTCAGATTATTGTTCTCGTTATAAAAAATCAAAGAAATTGAATAATTATAAACTATACATGTTTGGAAAAAAATATTGCGTATAATTGTTTTTAAAAGAAAAAATATATAATTTAAATGAATTAATTTTACAAACTTTTTAAAAAAAATATGAAATATAAAAGTACCATATAAATACATAACTTAAAAAAACATACTCCCCATACTGTATTTTATAACACAAAAATTTAAATAATATACCACTTGAACAATTTTATTGGGGGTGATGAACCTTGGTGCAAAAGGTCACCCCCAAGTCAAGTTGTGGTCACTATTTTATTTTTGGGCATGAAATTAAATGATACACATATACATATATATATATATATATATATATATATATATGATATACACACATACATTTGGACCGACTAAATTAATTTAGGTAGTGGAACAAATACTAAACTAACTCTCACCGAACTCCATTGAAGTTTTTGGTCTTGCAATCTGCTTTTGTTCTCATCACTTTCCTCTTCCCCTCAAAATGGATCCTCCAACTTTCTTCTTCTTCCTATTCACATACAAACGATGCCTTCACGAACGCTTCATCGTTTCCATCTTCTACTTCACGCTGCTCTCGACCCGAACCCTCTCTCTCGATCCAAAGTTTGAGGCTTGTGAACCGAAGTCATGCGGCAACGGCCCCATCATAACCTATCCTTTCTACCTATACGACAAACAAGAACCTTTCTGCGGATACCCGAATTTCGAAATCGCTTGCAACGATTCCGAATTCCCCGTGCTTTCGATCTCGGGTGAAGAATATATCATTAGAACCATATCTTACACAAGCCAGTCTTTTCTTGCCGTAAACTCTTTGGCATATCAAGATCCATGTCCTCGTCCTCTTCATAACCTCACCCTCCACCGAACTCCATTTTCAGTTAGCCCTTCTCATGTAAACTTCACATTGGCTTATGATTGCGTCGAAAAACCCGAAAAGGTTGCAACTTTTCCTGTGGATTGCGCGAGCAACAACACCCATCGATCTTTTGGAATCTTCCGTAGAGAATATGTAGCTCAGGAGGGGTTTTCATTCGGGTCGTGTCAGAAATTTGTCGATATTCCAGTTGCTGCGGATAGCGAATCGGATGCGAATCGGCTTATGAAAATGAGTTACGTCGAGATTTTGAAGACGGGTTTTGTCCTGAACTGGACCGCACATAGTTGCTTGAGGTGCAAGAATAGTGGCGGACGCTGTGGATCCGACAAGCAAGAATTCATCTGTTTGTGTCCTAATGGACAAAAGGCTCATAGTTCTTGCAAGAACGGTAACCGAATGTGAAGATTTATAATCCTCGTTAGGAATCTTACGTAGAAGATGAAGTAACTGTTTTGTCCTGTCTCGATTCTTATGTTTTTACTCAAACTTGAACTCTTCTGATTACAGTTTTTTGTTTTTTTTCCTCATCTTGATCACAGGCGGTATCAACTGGAAAGTGAAGATCTGCATAGGTACGATGATCTTTACGTGTTCTTGCTCGATCAAAGTTCATCACAAATCCTTGATTTTTTTTGCACAAAATGAATCTTGCACGATGACCAGACACGAGTAAACTGCGATAAATCCTCAACATTTTCGACGTTTTCAGGTGTTGTCGCGGGCTTCGCGGGAATATCGGCGACGAGTGCAGCATGTTATTTTTATTACCGAAGAAAGATTAGACGTTACAGGACTTCTTCGGTATTGCTCCCAAAGAACATAACCTCGGAACCATCTTCCAAGAATTCAGACATGGAGAAAGCAGAAGAGTTGTTGGCCGGAGTTCGTGTCTTCACCTACGAGGAGCTCGAAGAAGCTACTAATAACTTCGACCCTTCTAAAGAACTCGGTGATGGAGGCTTTGGAACCGTTTACTACGGTAAAAGACAGAATCTTGATCGATGTCTGGTCTGATGATCATCTGACATAAACTCTGTTTCAGTTCTCATGTTTTCTCGGTGTTTGTACCGAATAGGTCAGCTTAAAGACGGTAGATCTGTGGCGGTTAAGCGCTTATACGAGAACAACTACAAAAGAGTTGAGCAATTCAGGAACGAAGTCGAGATTTTAGCGAGATTACGCCATCCAAACCTCGTTACGCTCTTCGGATGCTCGTCAAAACATAGTCGTGATCTTCTGTTAGTGTACGAGTTCATCCCAAATGGTACATTAGCCGATCATTTGCACGGTCCGCGAGCTAACCCGAGCGCACTTCCTTGGTCTACGCGGCTCAAAATCGCTGCTGAAACGGCTAACGCCCTGAAATATCTCCACGCTTCCGAGATTATCCACCGTGATGTCAAGTCCAACAACATCCTTCTCGACCGAAATTTCAACGTCAAGGTGAGTTTTGAGGATATTATCTCAGTTGTTACGGATTCCACGTCTATTTTCTTCGATATTTCGATATTTACCATCACAAAACCTTTTCACGGGTATCGTATAGGTCGCGGATTTTGGCCTGTCTCGGCTATTTCCAATGGATAGAACGCACGTATCGACGTCTCCACAAGGAACTCCGGGATATCTAGACCCTGATTACCATCAATGTTACCAATTAACGAGCAAAAGCGACGTTTTCAGCTTCGGGGTCGTGTTAATGGAGCTAATATCGTCAATGCCTGCGGTTGACATAACCAGACACCGCCACGAGATCAACCTTTCGAAGATGGCGATCGTCAAGATTCAGAGCCACTCGCTTCACGAGATGGTGGACTCGACACTCGGGTTCGAGACCGATGCCAAAGTGAGAGACTCGGTGAGTTCGGTGGCCGAGTTGGCGTTTCAGTGTTTGCAGAGTGACAAGGATCTGAGACCGGACATATCGCAGGTTCTCGAGACATTAACGAGGATAAGGAACGACGGGTTTGATCTAGAAAGAGCAGATGAGATCATTGATGTTGGTGTTGCTAACGATGATGATGATGATGATGGCGCTGTCATGATGAAGAGTGGTCAGTTGGTTACGTCTTCTCCTAATACTGTAATGGTGAAATGGGATAGTAGTAAAGAGTAAAAACAATTTTTTTACTGTATATGTTAAATTCTTTTTTTGGTTTTGTTTATTTGGTTTATGATGGGAGAGATATTGTGTTATGTAACCTATGCATGATACATGTTGTTAGGGGATGTACATATGATCATAATTCATGAGGGCTCTTGTTTATTTCATTCATTTTCAAATACATAACTACTACGTCCTCCGTCCGTTCAAAATAATTGTTGTTTTAGGTTATTTCACATTTTTTAATATAAGAGAGAAAAAATCACATATAAAAAACAATGTTATCATTAATATTTTATTGAAATTGATAGGAATAAAATTAGAAACTATTGTAAAAAAATATCTTGAAAATGTAGAATGATAAATATTTTGAAACATGAAAAATAATCTAAAACTACAAATATTTTGAAACTGAGAGAGTAATATTTTTACTAGATAATGTGCAAAAAAAAAAATCTATTTTTATTGTCAATTGCTTCATAACACCATAACAACCAACCACCAAAGCCCTAAAACGAGTCAATAAATTAAAAACCCGTAAAAAATGGGGGAAAAAGATCAAACCAAATAGAATTCTCAAATAAATTGAAAAAAAAAACCATTAGAGTAGATTTCTTTTTTAATCTTAAAAAAATTTGGTATTAAACCCGTATCAACATTTTGTTTACTTACATAAACCCATCATTTGATTTTTTATTTATATAATTTTTTTAGAACTAGAAGGAGCTAAAGATCGCATTGGGGCAAAGACTCGATGATAGTGAAACGAAGTTCCAATTCAACAGGAGCAGGTAACAAAGACATAATGCATCGCCAAAATTTCTAAACCAAACCCGACATGGGCGTTGTGATAACGAATGGCTCACACCACATTGACGACCCATTGGTTCACCTAAAAACCATACTATAAATGTCATTGGATAAGTAATGAAATACATTGATGTTACGGTTGGTTGAACATCCATAATATTTGGTGTAATCTTTTCCTGAAATCCCACGTAACAACGATTAAAGACATAATTATTTTTATAATTCGAAATTTTATCGGGTTTTTGATCTAACTACATCTCCCACAATACTGGAAAAATTCATGTGAATATCTTTCTTCAAGTGGAAACTCGAATCTAAGTTAGAAAAAAAAATTACTCATTTACTTACCACTTGAATAATCCAATCTTGGATGGTTAAAGACGTACTTATATATATATATATATATATATAATATTGGTTTAAGGACTTCGCTCTTCATCCGAGAAGGTGCAGATTTGACTCTTTATCCACTTAGATATCGTCTGTTAATTACGGCTGATTAATTTACTTTCTACATGTGTATCGCAGGTTTATACACATAGACGGAAATTTACCCAATCAATCAATGTATTCGAAGGATAGTATTGAAAAAAAATTATTTATAACAAATAAATATTTATTTATCACTCACATCGTATATACATATTTATTTATCTAGATGTCAGAATTGAAAAAAAAAAGTAAAGAAAAGGAATTTTTTTGTCGTTAAAAAAATGGACTTATAAAACAAGATATAAAACATTATTCTAAATAAAATCACTCACATCATATACATATATATATATATATACATGAAGCCATCATATCATAATGGAGAAATCAAACTCCACATTTGAGTTTGGACGTTCCTCGTAAATTTATCTTTAAAGACCATTTCGTATCATCCTATGTTTTACACGATTTTCTAAGTTTTGACTTTTCTTCAAATTTACGTCGGTCCATGCAGATACAATAATATTCCATGTTTTCCCTAACTCTCTCATTAAAAACCCATTTAGGAAAATAAAATATCTTTTAATTTTTCATTGGGAAAACACATTGCTATTATAATACGCGTATTAGAGGGTTTCGAGTCGTTCGAGTCAACGTTGTTGACCCAGAATTCACAGTGGGACCCACTTCCGAGACTTTTATATTATATCAAGTTAAAGCGACGTCGTACAAACCAGTTCTTGATTAATCCAAAACACAGTTTCCTCTTCCTCCTCTCTCCGTTAAACAAATCGGATACCGCCACGTGTCATCACCGGAGATGCTCCGGCATCTTCTCGACGGTTTAAAGATCTGCGGCGGACTCGGCGGCGGCAGATCCTCCGAAGAAGACGGCGGAGACGGCGGACGTGGCCTGTTCTTCGATCTCCGGGAGCTGCAGATCGCAACCAACGACTTTTCCGACCAGAATCAGCTTGGACACGGCGGTTTCGGTCCTGTCTACAAGGTTAACCTTTTGATGGAAAATGTTTTGATGGGTGTTGTTCGATTTGATCCGACACGGTCGTCTTCCGTACAGGGCTTGATGCAGAATGGCGAAGAAGTAGCTGTGAAGAAACTGTCCGTGAATTCGAGACAAGGGTCGAGAGAATTCACGAACGAAGTGAAGCTTTTGCTGAGAATACAGCACAAGAACTTGGTCTCTTTGTTGGGTTGCTGCGTCGAAGGCCCTGAGAAGATGCTTGTTTACGAGTATATCCCAAACCGGAGTCTCGACTACTTTCTATTCGGTACGTTAAATAATTTCGATCTCCCAACCGGAAATCGTCATTGGTTTACTAAATCAAACTGATATACGTATAAGTGGTATAGCTAAACGGGTTTGCATCTTCAAAATAATGAAGGATGTACTTGGATCTCACTTAGGTTGGATAAAAACCAGTTGGATTTGATTTGGTTCTGATCGGTACGGTTCGGTTCTAATCCTCTGTTTTTGGACGCAAAGAAACCGGTTTACCAAACCTTACCTACCCATCAAGAGAAGAAAAACCATTTACGATGGTTTGAATCTATTGGTTAAGATGAATTGTATATGGAAACATTGTGAACGTTTTCGATGTTTTTCAGATAAGAACAAGTCCGGTTCGCTTAACTGGAGCAGCCGATTTCGGGTAGCAACGGGAGTGGCGAGAGGACTGTTGTATCTACACGAGGAAGCTCCGGTCCGGATCATCCACAGAGACATCAAAGCCAGTAACATTTTGCTCGATAAGGACTTGAACCCGAAAATCTCGGATTTCGGATTGGCCCGACTCTTCCCTGGCGACGGTACTCATACCAATACCATTAGAATTTCGGGAACTTTGTGAGTATTTCATTTTCCATCTCACTTCTCTTCGGACAAAATGTAATTCGGTATTTGATGAAGATTGAATTGTGGGTTATATGCAGTGGCTATATGGCACCAGAGTATGCCTTGCACGGGCTTCTGTCAGTGAAATCCGATGTTTTCAGCTATGGAGTTTTGGTTTTGGAGATCATAAGCGGAAGAAAGAATCACGATCCTCGTCTCGGTGTTGAAATGGCCGATCTCTTGAGCTACGTAAGTATGAATCATACTTTCATTCCGAAACGGCTTGTTACAACGAAAATCCAAAGTTCAGAACATTGATAACATAAACCTAATTTTCGATAGGAGTCGACGCGGGTCGAATACTCGAGTTTTTCGATGTACTCGACCTCGATCTCATCCCTTGAGTTTCTCAGCCAGAGAATCTCGGGAGAACCGGATACCATGTTTCGGGTAACCTTCTCCCGAGTTACCCGCAGATATAGGTAATCGCAAGATGAAACCCGAATTCGAACTCAAAGATCGGGTTCTTGTCGGGGGAAAAAACTCGTATTCGACCTCACGGCGATTCAGATTCTCTATGTTGGATTCCCGCGAATTGGGTACCCATGAATTCGGATACCCACGCTCAACCCTAGTTCCCGGTTCAAGAGCTAGAAACAGGGGACTAACCAGTTGAAACTGGTATTATAATTCGGTTATCTTTTAACCGGTTCGGTTCACTATCTTGAACCAAACAAAAAAAAAGGTTCTAAACCCTGTATCCATTGGCTGCTAAGCCATGAACTCTACGTTTTGATTGAACAACTTCGGTTTAAATCAGTACAAATTGCACTAACCGAAACTTCTGCCCGGTACAGGCATGGAAGTTATACCAAGGAGGTAAAATTCTCGAATTGGTGGATCCAATGCTCGCCGGAGAATACAACAGCGACGAAGCCGCAATGTGCATCGTTATCGGATTGCTATGTTGTCAGCAAATAATCTCGAACAGGCCGGTTATGAACTCGGTTAATCTCATGTTGTCAAGTGACTCGTTCGATTTGCCTAAACCGGGTCGTCCGGGACTCCAAGGCCGTAGGGGAACCGGTACCAAAGCCGGTACAGGAAGTTCAGTGTTAACCGGGAGTGAACCGAGTAGTTTTAAAACCAGACAAACCGGTGTAGCCTCCGGAGGGAGTAGCTTCGTCGAGGAGTTCTCGAGGAATTCTGTCTCCATGTCTTCATTCGCCGAAGGACGTTGAAAACGTAAGTGTTGTGTGTGTGTATACACAGATACATACGTATAAATAATTATTTGTATACATATCTGTATATATATATATATATATTATAGATGGATCATTAGGGTTTATTTTTTTAGAGGGATTTAAATTGTTCGCAAAACGTATTGACAGCTTCTACTATAATGGTAAGTACTAAGTAGATACACAAAATTTGGATTTCCGTAATAAAAAAAATGGATCAGATACTTCCAAAAAAAAATATCTAATTTACCTTTAATTTTGTTTGAAACTCTTTTTTAGAGCTGTTTAGATATATAATAAATTTTGATAATATAATATAACAACAGAAATATTCAATTAATATGATAAATTATTTTTCTTATCTTGTACGAATTCCACCAACAGTGTGATTAATTATTAGTTTTGAAATGGGTTTTAAGGTCTTGGCATGAAGAAAATAAAGGGAAATAAAACTCATATAAAAGTACAACTTGCATGTTACACCATTTGCAAATCATACACGTAGATATTAATTTAATTTAATTTAATTTAATTATACAGTATGAATATTCCTCTTTAGAAAAAGCAAAAGCTTAGACAGACAAGTTAAAGAGAAGACGTGCGACACGGGTTTGGTCTTTCCTTTGTAACAACTGCAGAGTATCATCCCTTTTTTATTTTTTGTTTGTATCTGCAATTTCCCGTATTAACGTGCCTTGTTTATTAATTGATTATTAATTAACATATAATCTTTTTTATAAATCGGTTCTTCTCTTTAGTGAGCCGGTCACATTTTCAGCTTTTTTTTAAGGGTGGGAACCCGTCTCCATTCGATTTTATTTAAAAACTGATTTATTTTAAAATCTAAATTCGAATCGAAATTGAATAGGATTGATGAAAATGATATAAAACCCAATTGAATAGGGTTCATGAAAAATTCTTTACCAAATTCCACAAGTAATCTAGGTTTTGGCAAAATAAAAAAAATACCGTTCTAGGTTACAGATTTTATATTACAAGCCAAACTACTCTTTTAATAAATAAGTCACACGATCGAGTAATTATTAATTAAAACCAAAGAACTAACAAATTAATTGAATTAATTAACATTTTACAAATATATATATATATATATATATATATGTGTGTGTGTGTGTAAAATCATAAATACAATATATAATTATAGGTATGAGAATAAATAGTTATACATCTAATTATAATCTTTAAACTTCACACTTGGTATAATTTCAGCATGACATTTAAAGGTATAATCTTGTCTTAGGAATTCTTATAGCAAACCATTATAAGATACCTTTTAAAAAAAAATTGAATAAAATAATTTAAAGAGAAAAAAAAAAGGAGAGATGGTGGGGAAAGGAAGAACCCAACCAACCAAATCCCACACTTTTTATATTTTTTTGTAGACTCGCACTTTGCTTTTGATTTGGATTGAGGAGCTCTTCGTCTTTGAAAGCAAAGAAAAAGAGAGAGAGAGACTTACTTAATAAAGAAGAAAATAATGCAAAGTTCAAGACAAGAACAAGAAGCATTGGCCAGCCTCTTCTTGAATCTCTCAACCTCCTCCTTCCTCCTCCTCCTCCTCCTCTACTCCGCCGTCTCCCTCCTCCACAGGCTCCTCCACTCCGTCGGCGGCTATCCTCTCCTCCATAGGTATAAAATACGTATCCACATGCATATATACATGTATACATACACCCATGCATGCATGCACACATACATACATGGGTTTTGTTTTTTTAATTATGTGCGTAACTCGAAGAAGGCTTGAACTTTTGACCCATCGGATTGTGAGCCGGTTTGTTATCCTCTCCTCAATAGGTACACATGTATGTATCTAGATGCGTATATGTATATACACATGTATATGGGTTTTGTTTTTTATGTATCTCGAAGAAGATTTGATCTTTTAACCTACTAGAGTGTGTGACCGGTTTAGATCGGTTATACTCTCTGAAAAAACAGACATACTCAGACATCACTCAATACATAATTTTTGTGATTTATTTTCATAGGGGTGAAGATGAATGCGATTCGATGTGGTTTTCGGACGAGGAAGAGGAGGAGGAAGAGGAAGAAGAACCGATATCGTCGTCTAGTGCAAATTATAATGTTACATCAAGAGAGAGGAATCACTTGATAGCCGACATATTAGACGGCGGAGAATCCTTAGTTTTCTACAACTCGAACGTCGAACCAAACAAACACGCCGAAGAGTTTGTGTTTTCCCAATCAGAAACACGACATGTTGATGAAGATCAAGATTCCGACAGTTCTTCTGCTGAAGCACAGTTCTCTGCTAAAGATTCGCCCTATCTCAGTGAATCGAAAGATGATGATGGTGAAGAAGACGACGATGATGATGGTTTTGATGATGATGATGATGATGACGGGGAGATACGATTACCATCATACGACGTCGACGATGATGATTCGGTTCACAAATCGAATGGCCCCACGCGACAAGAGCGTCTCCAAAGTGGTTTGCTGTTTCATGACAAAAGCTATAATGGTATTATGTTGTGCCCTCTTAACTTGCTTTTTTTTTTGTTCCCTCTCTTTATTTTGTTAACTGCTCACATGGAATAGAAAAGATGGGTTTTTTCCTTAGTAACAAAAAATAATAATAATTCAGATTCATCGCATAATTGGCATTGAACATACATATCTAGTAACACGTATATGTGTGTGTATATATAAATATATATTATAAATCATGTTTAGTCATGTTTGGTGCAAAGAGTTGTATAAATATCGGAACAAAATTTGTCTAGTGTTAACTAGTCAAATATAAAATATATGTATTTATATAATTCACATAATCGAACGAAACCGAATCTATACTCGGAATGTTTTTATATTCTAAATGTTTTTATTTTTCGCAGACGATTTCAGATACAAAGAAGATTTAAGAAAGATCGGAGAAATGAAAGAAGATTATCCGAAAGACGAGAAATTCATAGTTTTCGGACATTCTTCCGAGATACAGTGCGAGGAATTTCTCGCCCGAGGAGCGGAAGAAGAGATATTCGGGGACTCGTGCACGAACGGTTCGACGTCGAAAAGCTCGTCGGAATGGAGAAGCTCCGTAAAGACGGACGATCCGTTCTCGTCCTCGTCTCGGAGAAGTTGTCCCAAATGGGAATCGTACGCTGTCTTCCAAAAATATGACGAGGAAATGACTTTCCTCGCTAGGATCAGTACTCAAAAGCTCCAAGAAACAGGTCAATTAAAACAAAATTACAAATTAAATTAGGGCAATTTCATCGTTACGTTTCCGTTTTTGGATAGTGATATGTTTTTTTCGAATAATTACTATATACATTTGCATTTCCGTCCATAAATGATAAATTTTGAAATGGCAGAATCGTTGAAGTCTTTCATGGTGGAGCCAAGATCGATCTCAGAGAGGATCGTGCACAAGATCTCGAACGTGAAAAAGAGACCCACAACCAGTTCAAGTACCAACCACAATCCGTACGTGGAACTCGAATCTGCCTACGTGGCACAGATATGTCTGACGTGGGAGGCTTTGAGTTGGAACTACACTAACTTCGAACACAAGAGAACGAGATCGAGACCGGACAGAGATTTCGACGTCGGATGTCCCGCCGGAATCGCCGACCAGTTCCGAAGGTTTCACATTCTGTTGCAGAGGTACATTGAGAATGAACCTTATGAACATGGGAGACGGCCTGAGATTTTGGCTCGACTGCGTAAACTCGCTCCTAAATTGCTTCTTGTTCCCGAGTACCAAGGTAAATTATATATATATATATATATTATAATGTTTGTGTTTTGTATATACATTATCATGGTATATATCATGGTAATTCGTGGTGGGGGTTTACAGAGTATTGCGAGGAAGAAGAAGAAGAGGAGAAGGAGGAAGGATTGAAGATGAGAATAACGTCGGCTTCGTTCATGATGATAATGGAGGAATGCATAAGAACATTCATGAACTTTCTAAGAGCGGACAAGGAGAACCCATGTCACAAGATCCTCAAATCTTTCTTCGGGAGGAACAAAAGATGTCCGGTCGACCCAACCCTCCTCCATCTCATGAAGAAAGTCAACTCAAAGGTAATTGAAATGTCATTATTATAACGTTGATTAGATTAGATTCGTAATTTAATTACTTAACGAAATGAATGGGCAGAAAAAGGCTAAGCTGAAGGAAATGCGAAGAGGAGGGAGATGCGTGAGGAAGAGGAGGATGAGGATAGAGGAGGAGATGGAGATATTGATGGGACTCATAGACTTGAAGGTGGTGTCGAGGGTGCTGAGGATGAGTGTTATAACTGAGGAGAGATTGCATTGGTGCGAAGAGAAGATGAGCAGAGTCAGGATCATCCATGGCAAGCTCCTACGAGATTCATCTCCCCTCTTCTTCCCTCCACATTGATTATTCTATAAACCCTTTTTAATTAATTTTGGTGAAAAAAGTTGCAATTTTTTTTAAATAAAAAGATGATATATATATATATATATATATATTCAAGTTTATATGTAGATGAGGTGGCGGATAGAGTTCTCGAGAAAGGGAAAATAAAGATTAGGGAAGACCATGAGAGGCAAAGCGAGGGACATGCGTATGCATGCATGCAAGAGAATCTATAGCTTTAGTTCTTTTGTATGCTTTTCATGGTAACTTTTTTTTAAGTAAGATTTTTTTTAAATTAAATCTCGGCGTTAGTAGATGGATATTCCACGTATAAAGCATTGAGAATAAGGAATTAAACAGGAGTGGGATAACTTGTTATCTATCCACATGGCATGTGTCCACATGGACCGACTTGTTTCCTAACCAGCACCGGCGGATGAGAGTATTGAAAATTATCATTTTAATTGTTAGTAAATAAGTGGCTATTATAATAAGTTATTATGTACATAAATAAAATATTCTAATATATAAGTTTATTATCTATTTTTTTTAATTATCTTCTGTTATGGGGACCAAAACTCTATATTTTAATTATCTATATTTTTTATCCATCACCAAATTATAACGAAGGAGATAAATAAATAGTATTAAATTACACGTCACATTTTTGTTGACAATAAAAAATGAACCGGGAGGGATATCATTATTACACTACGAGACCCATTCAAATTATTCTTATCTTCCACTTTCTCTCTCGTCCACACACATAGAGAGAGAATCCAAATGGCTCTCACCGTGAGCAGCGGCGTCGGAGGAGCCGGGATCCGCTGCATCAACCTCTCCGACCGCTCCCGTACACCATCCACCGCGTTTAGACACGTCAATGTCCCTGGACCGACCAGAGCCCGCCACGTGGCCACCGCCGCCAAGAAGACCTCCCAGACTGGCCGGTTCGACAGCAAGAAGCGTCGGAGCCTCGTCAACACCCCCACCAAGGAGCAGCCCGAGGAGGAGCCACGTGGAGACGACGAAAACCCTCCGCCGTTCGATTTCGAGGGCGACGGCGGTGGGGGAGATCGGACGGTGGAGAGCATCTCCGGCAAGGCACCGCCGATTCGGCTGTCGGAGCTTCCTGGGGTAGAACCCGATTTCTGGGAAGGTCCGCAATGGGATGCTCTAGGGTTCTTCTTTCAGTACTTGTGGGCTTTCGGAATCGTTTTCGCGGTAAATTTCACCGGAAAGTCTTCGAATTTGACAGCATAGCCAATTATTAAGATTTGTAATACGATTTCTGGGCGATTTTGAACAGTTAATCTCCGGCGGAATCGCGGTGGCGACGTATAACGAAGGAGCGACGGATTTCAAAAAGACACCGGTTTACAAAGAGGCGATTCAGTCTCGGGACCTTATTGATGAAGCAGAAGGTTCGAGTTCTGAAGAAGTATTTGAATCCAATCCGACAGAAGTGGCTCCTAGTTTGGAGTAGTCATGGAAAACCCAGTTCAGTTCGAACCAGTTCCACTATATCTGCTGGTGTTATTGCCAAAAGGGGCATGAAGAGAACTGAGTTCGTTACATATGATGTTACAGAACCAAAACGAAGCTCTGACAAAAACCGAGTATAAGAGATTATTGCTTCATTGTTTGGTTTATAGTTCTAGTTTTGCTGCACTGGTTTATGTATCTGGTATCAAAGAAACGAATCAAAATCGAAACTTGGATCATTGAAGAAGTTTTGCTTAATGTGTTTGATGTTGTATCTGTCTGCAGATTTTCTATGCAATGCATTTAGGGCCGTGGAAACTTCTATGGAGAAGTATCTAGTAGTTTATTTAGTGAATCAAATCCAAGGCAGACAGGTTCTATTGTCGTATAGAACCATGATAGGAAATGTAAAACCTAGATAGAACAAGTAATTCAATGATTTATAGGAGGAAAATTCCAGGTAGAAAAGCTGCGATTGCGAAAACGGGTAATTGGATCTCTGATTTTGGAGAAGAGGACCTCAGGCCGAGGCCGAGTCCCATTATGCTTGTGGGTCTTGGTGCCGCTTGAACTGCCGGGGTTGCTGCTGTTTTGGCTACAAAAACGCAGCAAACGGGTTATATCTCAAAACAGATCATATGAACCGGTTTTGGTCAACCGGGCACCGTTCTAATGGAGATGTTCGGTTTAGTTGATACTGGCTGAGATTTGGTAAACCGGATTACCTGCAACAGGAGAGTTGTTCTTTGCTCCCAGAGAGATTGGAGATACTGCTGAGTTTAAGGGCGGAGCTACAGGAGAGTCTTGAGCGGCCGATACACCTTTCAAGAAACAGGTTTTACATCAAGATCGATGAGTTCAATCGGTGGAACATTAACGTATGAATCGGAAATCATGGATATGGATCAGGGTACCGGAGCAAGTGGATGCGTTTGCAGGGATGTCGCAGAGCCGAGGCAGTTGCAGTGCTAGGGTTTTATCGATGGGGAAGGCGTAAGTGTTGTTGAGGAAGAGACAGAGACAGGTGGGTTCTTGGACGTAGATTTGGCCGAGGCTGTCGCAGCATGGCTGAGCGGGGAGCTGGGTCAGTCCCTGCACGAACGGACCACATGGAGCCAGGGCTAGGAGCCGAGAAGCGCACGGCGGTGCAGCTGTCGAGGGGTTCTGGGAAAGAACCATTGGAGCGAAGAAGATGAGGACAGAGAGAAAGAGAGTTGAAGCCATTGTTGTGTTCTCTGAAGTGGGTTTCAGTTTCTTGGGAAAGAAGCCTATGTTTGGTATGCAGATTAGGGTTTTGCGGAGAGATTCCAATTTATGGTGGGATTCAACGGGTTTAGTATGATAATGTAATTTTATAAATATAAAAAATATATAAAATCCATTAACAGAAAAATCTGCATGCACGATGTGTTTTTTTCTGCAACACATGAGGTTTTCCATGTTGTGTAAGGTCACGTAATTTTGGAGCTCCGAATCTGTGGGAGGTCGGCCCATTTTGTCCAGGGGTTTTGCAAAAATTACATAATAAACAGTAAAAAATTAATTAAATAGGATAAAAATTAATTTCACTCTTTAAATACAATTTTGTTTGGTTTTTCATTCTATAAAAAACACTTTTAACTTTGTTATTTAGTATCTAATTTTATGTTTTTTTTTTAAAACTGGAATAAAATAATTGCACGTGGATAAAATTTTAATTGGTTCTTTGAAAAATTATTCACTGAATATAGTAAATTATAAATCACTTGTTATTTATTTTATTTTTTTGCTAATTAAAAAGTCTCGTTTTTTTTAAAGAAAGTATATTTGTTTTCATTCACTAAGGCTTTAAAAGTGGTGGGCTCATTCAGCGGTCTTGCAAAAAGCCCAACCAAATCAAAACAATCCGCACCTTCTTCTTTGGTGGATCTGAAATTACAGAGACCCGAGCAAATTCGTCTTCTTTCGTCAATTCAAACCCCCGATACATCCATCTCTTCTGTGCTAAAACCCTCCGGCGATTCTCTCCGTCTCTCTCATTTCTCAGCAGCCATGTACGGCGGAGGTGGGTTTCTCTTCGTTCCCTTTAGGATTTAAAATTTGGCTCATAATTCGAGAAATCTAGAGTTCTTCTCGTTGAAAGTCTGAATCTTTGGTGGTGGGTTTTTTGTGTTTTTGATTTGGACAGATGAAGTGTCAGCTATTGTAGTTGACTTGGGTTCTCATACTTGCAAAGCTGGTTACGCCGGCGAAGATGCTCCCAAGGCTGTTTTTCCCTCTGTAAGCTTCACTGTCTCTGTTTGTCTTTCTCCGTAGTTTGTGTCGTGAGAATGTATATTCTGGAGTTGGAGAGATTCCTTTGATCTTTGGGACCATTGTCTGTTTCTTATTTTGGTGTAATTGCAGCTTTTGGTGGTGCCAGTGTTACTAGAAACCATGTTTTTAGCTAAGAACATTGGAGAAACTTTATGAACTTATGTCTGTTTGCGTTTGTTAGTCGCATCTTAATACGTGGGAGCTGTGTTTGGTTTTTGTTGATGTGTCATAAGGTTGTCGGAGCAATAGACAGAATGGATATTGATGATGCTACAAAGGCAAATTCTAATACGGAGGATTCGAAGAACAGTGCTGTTGATTCTGATAAAGGAAAAGGAGGCAAACGCAAGCTGTATGTAGGGTCTCAAGCCCTGGGATTTCGACGTGATCATATGGAGGTTAGGTTTTCGTGTCGATAATGTTTATTTTTGGAAATGGTTGAAAATATTGGGTTGAATTTCTGTATTTCAATTGTTAACTGTTCTGTGTCACCAGATATTGTCACCCATAAAAGATGGCATAGTTGCTGATTGGGACATTGTTGACAATATATGGGAACACGCTTTCAAGTAATGAGATAAGCTTTAGATGCCTTTCTTTGTTGTTTAATTTCTATTTCTTCCGTGAGATTTGATCACCGAAACTATTCTGTTTTAAAGGGATTGTCTACTGATTGATCCTAAGGAGCATCCAATGCTGTTAGCAGAGCCGTCTTCAAACACACAACAGCAAAGAGAGAAGTCTGACTTCTGTACCTTAAAACTTCCTCTAGATTTTGCATTTTTGCCCTTTACGTATACTGATTCATTCACATCATTTGGCTGACAGGGCAGCAGAGCTGATGTTTGAAGAATACAAAATTCCAGCATTGTTTACCGCCAAGAATGCTGTATCTTTCTCTTCTTCTTGCAATTGAATTTTCTTTTGTCTGTTTCTGTTGAACTGGTGTAATATAATGCCTTGCTACTTGCATGATTTTTAAAATTTTTTTGGTCATAGGTTCTCACATCTTTTGCATCAGGACGTGCTACCTCTCTGGTTGTTGACTGGTAAGACTTTTTTTTTTATATTTTTTTTAACTTACTTTTTTTTCAATGACTTTCCTTGTGATTTGATTTAGAATGTATGGAAATAGATCAGGTGTTCACCAACTTCATGCTTTTGATTATTTCTCTCACCCAGTAAAATTTCTAAGTTGTGAATGTAGTCGTTTTATTGCTCGGAAGGATTTTACTCTTTTGCGATGTTTTATTTGCAAAACCACAACATGGAACTGCCATAGATACAATAAATTATTGTTTTGACAGAAAGGTTAAGTCATGGGGCTTCACAAGGATTCCTTGTTTATTTTTTTTTTATCATCACGATTAATGTACGATAACACTGGTAACACTTTTTCCTCTAACATACCCAAATCCCTTTTCAGTGGTGGAGGGTCCACAACGATTGCTCCGGTGCATGATGGTTATGTTCTTCAAAAGGTATTTTATTCTAACTCGATGCAGTAAGAATTATGTTTTGGATGATAATTTGCATGAAAACTCAGTAGTATTGATGTAGACTAACCCCTTCTATGGTGTTCCTGGAATAATCTGGTAGGTACTGTCAATCCAGTACATCATACTATCATAGTCTTCAATCCTTTTTTATATTTGTGTCACACACATTTTATAAGGAAAATGTTTGGATGGACATTGAAAGGGATGTGTTTTTGTAACCCTCACTGCTACAACTTATCATCTGTGTAGATTTTGACCAAACTTAGCTTTTCTAGCATTAGTGCAGCTTGGATATTGACGCCTTTATTTGTTTCTTGGCAATACTTTTGTCTGCAGGCTGTCATTTCATCTCCAATTGGAGGAGAGTTTCTCACTGATTGCTTACTGAAAAGCTTGGAGAGTAAAGGCACTAAAGTAAGTTGCAGATGTAGTTAGGCTTTTGGCTGAATTTTAAGTCAAAGACACTTGAATATATTATGTTTGAATAAAAAGAAAATTATCAGACTTCTCTTTGTTATCTGATTCAATTAGATGTAATTTCACTTCACGGTAGAGTTTTAGTTTGCACTTCTAAGTTCTAATGGTAACTACCTTCTCAGATAAGACCCAGATACTCTTTCAAGAGAAAAGAAATACGACCAGGAGAGTTTCAGGTACTTTTGTATCTTTAGACCGGTAGATATGGGCCAAAAACTGCTGTTTTTTAATCATACTTTGTTTGAGCATAGATCATGTGCTCTTTTTTATTGGCTATGGAATGAACAATTATAATCTTGATTGGGATATGCCATTTATCCTAGCCTGAGGTTCCCTTGGCAGCAAAACAATTTTCCTGCAGATTCACTGCCTCTTTGGTTTTTTTTAATCTAAATTACTTATTGCCTTTTTGAAACTAGCGAATTGTATAAGAGCATTTCTTTTTATGGTTTTGGATGAGGTTTCTTATTTCTCCGTGGACCTTTGCAGGTGGTAGATGTAGATCTTCCTGATACAACAGAAACCTACAGACTCTTCTGCCAAGTATGCACTTGATATTGAATATTGATAATGATAATTTTATTGAGAGTATCTACTGTTTTGTGGTTTTCTTATCATTATTATTTTCTGGGAAACAGAGGATGATAGTGAGTGATATCAAGGAATCTGTTTGCCGTGTCCCAGATACTCCTTATGATGGTACACATTTTTTCTACTGTCTCTGGCTGGTTTCGTTCATTTGTTTTCCTTTGTTGAGAGTTGCTAGCTAGCGGCTTTGCTTCTGAATGATCATAAATCATATGGTTAAAAACTTTTCATATTAATCTCAAATGTAAAATTGGGTTATCTAAACCGGTATTTTTGGTTAATCTTTTCGCATCAGTCTGCCATTAGTGGAAAACATAGAGAAATTGAGAGTATGGTGAAAAGACGCTCACTTAGTTTTTCTGATGTTGTGCATCTTCTTTGCAGACACTTCATATTCAAACATTCCGATGACATCATACGAGCTTCCTGATGGCCAGTAAGCTTCATTTATTTTCTTATTGCATTTTTCGTAGGATAATCATGCTAGATTGTCTTTTGCTTTCTGTGCATAAGGGTTATGGTTGTAAACTGATTTTTCTAAACCTCGTATAAGGAGAAAACCAACAAAAGGAGAAAACTGTTTATTTATCCTTTTTTTTTCTGATGGATTCTTGGTGATTGCTGCTAGCTCGATGTCTTGTAACATATAGCACATAATGCAGGACACTTGAAATTGGTGCAGACAGATTCAAAATTCCTGATGTGATGTTCAACCCATTCCTGGTTCAGGTTAGCTTGCTAATCTTGTAATTTATTTGTGCCCAAATCCTTTAACCGCAACCTTTTCCTTTCATTGGTGGGATGAACTATAAAACATTTTTAGTTCAGTGCTCTTGAATTTTTGAGGCCCCATTCTATTTCTTTTTGGCAAACTGCAGACAATTCCTGGAATGGAGAATTACACGGGCATGCTTCCATCAATCCGTGGGTTGCCACACATGGTAAATATATAGTCTTGGGTATTGTAGAATTTCGTAACTTTTCTGACTTCTCTCCATTTTGGATTAACTCACAACCCGTTTTTACTATCAAATTTTCAAAAAATAAAACCTATTTACAGGTCATAGAGAGCATCAACAAATGTGATGTTGATATTAGGAGAGAGTTGTATAGTAGCATACTGGTAAGACCTGAAACTCAACCCTTTTGTTTTCCCTTTGTTCAACTCATATCACTTAAACGTGTTATCATCTCTATTACTTTTTTTTTACATTGAATACATTCTTTTTTTATGGTGTGATATATAGCTTGCTGGTGGCACGGCTTCAATGCAACAGCTGAAAGAACGTCTGGAGAAGGATTTGCTTGAAGTTTGTTTCTTTCTCTTATTTATTTTTCCGATTTTAAGCCATTTTATGGTATAGCTAAAATTTCCGGTTCACGCCTTATCTTCTTATAGGAGTCTCCTCAATCAGCTCGAGTCAAAGTGTTGGCAAGTGGTAACACAACAGAAAGAAGATTCAGGTTAGACACAATTTACTTATTCCTCTAGTAGCCGCTCATAGTCTCTCAGAAGAAAAATGCTGAAGACAAGTGTAGTTATACTTGGGAGAATCATTTTTATAATGCTTGAGTACTAGTGAACCTGGAAATATGAAACAATCTCTGTTTTCGAGTTCGGAAGTACAAAAGCATGTGCATAAGTTATATCTAGTTTTATGGATGCTTCGATATATAAAATTTACAAAGTGCTAGCTTTAGGTACTGATAGGCTGGTAGGCGTTTCTGTATTCTCGTATTCTTGATTGAACGAAGAAAACATTATAGTTAAAGAGAGAAAGCATGCTCTCTAGAACTGGACTCTCGTATAGTGCCATTTTGGCAAACTTTTATATAGGGTTGGACACGGGTCGGGTACTCGAGATTTTCAGGTTATCTGAATCCAACTCTGAATGTCTCGGGTCTCACTAGATATTAGTCAAACTCGGATCCGTTTCGGTTGGGTATCCAAGACAATTTTCGGATACTGCAGTATCCGAACACGAGTTTAAATACGAAATTTCAAACTTTTTCAAAACAAATATCATATATTAGGAGTTTGGTTTGATACTCGGGTTAGATACTTGGAACTTTTTAGTTACCCAAAGGCAAACCCGCAATTTCAGGAGGTTGTATATGATATCTCCAAAACTTAGGGGCAAAATGTCATTTTTTACCATTCATTTGGGCACCCGAGGATAATATCCGATCCCGAATTCAATTGCTCGAAAACGAACCCGATGTTCGGATTTTCTCACGCTATATACTATGATCTCATCTCATATAGTGATCGGGTATCCGAATTTCGGATTTCTTTTTTTCAGCACTATATTACAGTGTTCCTGATACTTTTTTCTCATCCATATAAGTCCTGGATTGCTTTGTGAAATGTGAATTCAAGCCCTTCAACCTGAATACGGGTATTATATGTTATTGGTGCAGCGTATGGATAGGAGGGAGCATATTGGCATCGCTCGGCTCATTCCAGCAAATGTGGTTCTCCAAATCTGAGTAAGTACCCGTCCCATCAATCACGACAGATCACGCTCTCACAATCCGTTCTTCTCACTACTGTTTCTTTCTCGGCTCTTTGTTAATGGACAGGTACGAGGAACATGGAGCTTCGTACATTCAGAGGAAATGCCCTTAAGCAAGGATGCGGATCATGTGTTCCTTTTCCGTCAAGAAACCTTTAGATTTGAGCCAGAATCTCTAGGCATTGTGTAGAAAACCATCATGTTCTTTGTGGGTTTAGTAAGTTATCTTTTGTGGATCTGGGATTCGGCATTGACAAAATGGTATTTGCAGAATTCCGACCACACGTAGTTGCTGTTTTACCAAATCATTTGCCGTAACTGTAACGTGCCTGACTTGTTTGTCGACGTTTTCTGCTTTCTTGAAACAGATACGGAACATATATATATACACATACATATATATACACATATACATATGTATATATATAATATCTGAAAATAGTTGTCTGAATGTTCTTGTTGTAATAATGAACGAATCTACCAAAGCGACTTTAGAGGGTTTCCAAAACCCTAAATTTTGAATCCGTAATTTTAAATTGTCGCCTCGGCCCATAATTTTAAATTTTCGATTGCACATTTGTAACGTCATATGTTTATACCGCTTTTTGTTCATAAAACGTAGCCGGTTTTGTCAACCATGTAAACCGGACCGGTTTAATCGAGATGCAGGGTCTGGTTTGATCGCAAACCCTAGCTTAAACCCTCGACACCTCCAGGAGATTTCACCGCTTTGAGGCGGAGAGAGAGAGAGATGGGAAGCGATAGCGAAGCTGAGAGGTCTCAGATGAAGGAGAAGGAGAAGGAGAAGAAGAAGAAGGTATTAGCTTTGGCTCCGATAGCGAAACCTCTCGCCGGCAAGAAACTCTACAAAAGAACCCTCAAGGTTGTACGCACAGGTACCTATATGTATATAGATTTCTATTGTAGTGTATATATGTGCTGACCTGAGTATGTTCTCTGTTCTGTGAAAATGGTTTCTATTCGCCTGCGTTCGTAAGCCTAGGGGGAAAATGGATTTTTCTCATAAATCTGTTCCCTTTTTGGGGGAAGTTGATGTAGGCGAAACCCTAATCCAAAACTTTAAATTTCTGGGAGGAGAGTTTGGTTTCTCCCTTAGAGCCTCGCTGGTAATCAAGAATCTTTGTTGTTGTTGTTGTTGTTGTTGTTGTTTTTGCTCTCTAGATTTGGGTAAAAAAATGAAGTTGGTTTACATTAATGTAATGTGTTGAATCCGTAAATTGGTAATATTGATATCGTTTTTCTTGTGTCTTATGATCTTACTTCACTTTTGAAGCTGCTGAAAACAAATGCTTGAAGAGAGGAGTGAAGGAAGTGGTTAAAAGCATTCGCCGCGGCAATAAAGGGTTGGTTTTTGCATTCCTTTGCTTGAACCATTGGCTATTTTGTGACTATACTGGTGAGACGTTTGTATTGTTTGTCACTTTTGGTTGCAAGTTGAAAAAGGGTTCTTGCTGATATTTCAAAGAATTGTATGGTAGATAACCGAACACTGAGCTCTCTCTCTCTCTCTGCTGAATGGAAAGAACCCTAGTTTCGGCTTCATGGGCTCTGCTGATGAGAATTGTCGTATTAAAGTCCATGGATGATGGTATCAGTTAGTTACTTCGTTCTTTATTTCTATTAAAAGGAATCCTTGGGAAAAGTATTTTGCTTCTGCCGAGCTAAAACAATGTGTCGATGTCTCTAGTAAACCCATGTGTCACTGCTGCATAATCAGCTTGTTGCTGATCATCCTTGCTGTTACATACCTGAGTTTTGATTTTTTTATTCAAATACATACATCAATAACTTGTGTTGATTATGCAGATTGTGCGTCATAGCTGGAAATATATCTCCTATTGATGTCATAACTCATGTCCCGATCTTGTGTGAAGATGCTGATATCCCATACATCTATGTCCCATCGAAAGAGGTATGTCCTGATCTTGTGTGAAGATGCTGATATCCCCTACTGTGTGAGCCTCACAAAACGTCAAATGCGAAACTTGTGATAACATGAAGCTGAATTCTGCTGTATGTTATCTTGTTTCTTGGTCTGTCTCGTTAGAGATTTCGTTCATATTTTCACCGTTGATCAAATCGCGGGTTTTTTTTCAGGATCTAGCAACGGCAGGAGCCACCAAGAGGCCAACATGTTGCGTTCTGGTGCTGACAAAACCCGGGAAGGGAGAGCTAAGCCAGGAAGTGCAAGAGAAACTGAAGACAGAGTATGAACAAGTTGTAGGAGATGTTAAAGAGCTTGCCTCTTCTGTTGTGTAAGAGATTGCTCCATTACTGCTTCTGTTCAAATAGATTACAATCTGAACTTGATGGTTGGATTTTCGGCTACGATGATCCTTAGCTAATGATGTTGATACAAAAAAAATATCTACCAAGGAAACTCAAGTGTTCCTTTCTCATGTCTGAAATCATTACCAGTTATCGAATTCTAAGCTGTGTTACTGGAAATACTAATACATTCTATCCATAACTGCAGTAATATCATAAGGGGAATGTGTGTGCGTGTGTGTATATATATAATGGAGGATGCATGTAGAGTTATGAAATGGTGTCGGTGTCGTTGTCGTTGGATTGGGCCAAGCAGCGTGAATGGTAATCAGTGTAATCAAAGCTGAAGATTCGATCAGCCCAAAGATGGAACCAGCTCTCGAGAGACTCGTCGTTTCCAACACCATCCTCCTGTCCTAATTGTCCCTCCTCCTCCTCCATCACCGCAGGCTTTGCCTCTTCCTCTGGCAGTGGCTTTGGCTCCGCCGTCACGGCTGCAGGCTGTTGCTCAGGTGGCAACGACCGTTGCTGAGGTGGCGGCGGCTGTTGCTGAGGTGGTGGCGGCTGTTGCTGATTTGGCTGTGGCGGCGGAGGTTGAGTTTTTCCGGTGGGACCCTTCTTGCTTTTCCGGTGACTCTCTGGGTGTTTGGCTGCCCATTGTTCCATTGTTGTCGGTTTTCGTCACAAGATCAACGGAAAAAAATGGGGAATACAACATGCATCCAAGTATATGACAAAACAAACAAAATCCACGTTTAAAAAAAATATAAATTACACGACATTGAGCAGTCGTTGTCGCATACGGATCTTTAAAAATTCACTTGGATATATAATTACGAAATAATTTTTTCGCTGTTAACCATGTATAAAATAATCGAAAAAAAAAAATTTATCAAAATAATATAGGAATTCGAAAGAATATAATTTTTATGAAACGGAAAAATGAAAACCGAAAAAATCACCTCTAGAATAGTTCAATCGGTAAAACGGACGCAAACAGTCTATAACATTCCGAATTCAAATCTTAAGTTTGGAGAGATAACGTATAATCTAAATATTGTGGTTGACTCCCAAGATTGTACTAAATAACTGAAAAATTACCGAAAGAACAAAAAAGAAGAGAAAGGGAGGGCGCTTACGTTTGGACAGCCGGTGACCCATGACGTTCCGCAGTTACCACCACGGTGTGATCTCTATTGTACAATATTACGGTAATTTATGTTTATGTAGGAGTAAAAAGTATTTAAAAATGGAAAAATACCATATTTTTATGTTTATGTAGAAGTAAAAAGTAAATATTGCTTTTTAGTTTCTGGGTTTAGGTTTTGAAATTGGAATTTCTTTTGTATGTTCCATATTGTCAAAAAGAAGAAATTTATGTAAATTTGATATTTATAAAATTGAATTTGGCGTGTTCTCCATATTATATATGCCGGCGTGTTAAAACATTTATGGTTCCAGATCCTAGACCTAACCTTAGACGACTTCGACTGGATATATGCATATGTATTGACAAAAGTGGTAGTTTATAAATATATGTTACATATATTTTTATAAAAATTATGTGACATTTGTAGGTGAAACAAATGTGAACAGACAAAGCGGTGAGGTGGGAGCCAGACGAAGATATATATATATATATATATATATTAATAGTACAATATACCTTAATTAAAAAAATTAGATTATTATATCCCTTTTTTTTTATAAAAGGATGATGATCATTTTCATTCTGATACGTATCATTATTCTGATTTAAAAATTCATTATATGCGACTTTTTAAAATCAAATTGAATAAATTTGAATATAATATACAAAAATCGAATGAAAAATTAATATTTTTCACGTGTAAATCGAATTGACACAATATTTTATTTTTCAAATCTAATTTTTTATAACATTTGTTTTAATAAAAATAATGCGATAAAAAGTTAGAACGAATCTTATTAAAACACGCGAGAGAGAATTGAATACATTTAAAAATGAATCTAAACTATACCATTTTTAAAATAGTGATTTGGACTAACAATTTACTTGATAAATCATTAAATCTAATAAGATTTTAATATTTATATTTTACTATTAAAACATATTATTATAGAATTAGCAGTTAGAAATAAAAATATTTTATACGTTCGCATTATAATCATTATCATAATTTATAGTTTTAATAATAATTTCCATAATTTAAATTAACAATAATTTTTTAGAATTTTCTTAAATTTAAATATATATTTTGTTATAAAAAGTTTGAAAAGTCCAAACTAAATTCTAGTTTTTTTTGGCAATACTCTTATAAAAATATATACATTAGTTACTCTCTCCTTCTTCGGTGTCCAATCTGCTTTGATTCCAAGGCCGCCACAGCCGCCGGCACAAATCTCTCTCTCTCTCTCTCGTTCTTAGGGTTTCCGCCTTCCTTGGCTTCCTCATCAATGGCGTCTTCGTTTCTCAGAATCCCAACTATCTCCTCAAGAACCCTCGAAACCCCTTCTCTTCCCTCCTTATCCTCTTCCTCCTCCAAATTCTCTCCTCTTTCCCCCCATTTCCATCACCGCCACCGGCGCTCCGCCACCGTCCTCCGTCTCTCATGCTCCGCCTCGGCTGACGCATCTCCTCTTCCTTCCCATTCCCTCCGCCGCCGGCCGCAATACATCCCGAACCGCATCCCCGACCCCAACTACGTCCGCATCTTCGACACCACCCTCCGCGACGGGGAACAATCTCCTGGAGCTACCCTCACGGCCAAGGAAAAGATCGACATCGCTCGTCAACTCGCGAAACTCGGGGTTGACATCATTGAAGCTGGGTTTCCCGCCGCTTCCAAGGAAGATTTCCAAGCCGTGAAAACAATCGCCGAGATTATCGGAAACACCGTCGACGAGTCCGGCTACGTCCCCGTCATCTGCGGCCTCTCCAGATGCAACAAGAAGGACATCGAGACGGCATGGGAAGCGGTGAAATACGCCAAGCGGCCGAGGATCCACACGTTCATCGCGACGAGTGACATTCACTTGAAATATAAGTTGAAGAAGAGCAAAGAGGAGGTAATCGAAATCGCGCGGAGTATGGTTCGATTCGCGAGGAGCTTGGGCTGCGAAGATGTGGAGTTTAGCCCTGAAGATGCTGGAAGGTTCGATTTTTTTTTCTTTTTTCTTCATTATCTGTTTGCTTTTTCCGATTTGGGTAGCGAGGATGTTGAAAGGATTTGATTCATGTTCTTGAACTGAAACCAAGTATCAATTTTGGCAGCACTTTTCCGTCACTCGATTTTAGCACTGTAGAATTGGATTAATTTTGACAACCGCGAAGGGTGTCGTTTCGAGGTCACGGGTTCAAATCTTGTCTTTCCTTTAACCCAGAAATCAATAAATTTGTATGGCTGAAGCTGACATTTGATAGTAGTGAAGGGTGCTAATGCTGTAATGGAATATGCAGATTCTCTTTGTTCTTTTTCCCTGTTAATTTAAAAGTCTCTTGCTTTACAGATCCGACAGAGAGTTTCTGTACCGGATTCTTGGTGAAGTCATCAAAGCTGGAGCCACAACTCTCAACATACCCGATACGGTTGGTATAACTTTGCCGAGTGAGTTTGGTCAGTTGATAGCTGATATAAAGGCCAACACACCCGGGATCGAAAATGTCATTATCTCAACACACTGTCAAAATGATCTTGGGCTCTCTACAGCCAACACTTTAGCTGTATGTAATTTTCTTCTTCTTCTTTTTTTCCTTTGGGTGAAACAGCTAGTATGAATCATTTATATGTGTATTGTACTTATATCGCTGCCCTTTTAAATTCAGGGTTCATATGCAGGTGCAAGGCAAGTGGAAGTAACAATCAATGGAATTGGTGAGAGGGCTGGAAATGCTTCACTGGAAGAGGTGGGAGTTTTATGGTTGTGATTGTTGTAACCTGTGAAGAATACTCGCGAAACTTTATGCAACTGAAATCCGTGTTTTAAACATTTAATTTCCCAACCAAACTTTGTTAGTGTAGGAACCACATATTGATAGACTCACATCAGTAACAATGGGAGATCTAGAATACTGATAGCCAGTATTGCTTCAAAACATGCTATGATGAGGCTAGTTAGTTAAGTCTTCTATGGTGTAGAAAAAAGTCGATCTTAGAATACCCTAATATGGAGTTGCTTTCTAGATTTTTGGAGGAATAGCTCGGTTTTTACTTTTGGTGTTGAGCGAAAGCTCTGCTAATTTTCATTTGTTTATCTGATATTTTGTCTAAGAAATTTGGCTCTAGCCTCAATATATCTGTGTTTTGGCTCTTATGCATTTTTGTGTATATTCTAATGAATTAGCCATTGTGAACAGGATCCTTATTTCTCACATCACTACTTTCTTGAAAATGTAGGTTGTGATGGCCATAAAATGCCGCGGTGATCACATATTAGGAGGTTTATTTACGGGAATTGATACCAGGCACATTGTTATGACAAGCAAGATGGTATGCATTCTGAACACCATTCTGTTCTTTTGTGACAGAGAAATTATCTTTCTATTTTTTATGAGGGAAAAAAGAGTTTGTAGATTATGGTCTCTACCAGATAAGGCCTTTCTTCACGTATGGCAGCATGCTTGTTAGGTTGAAGACTACACGGGTCTGCATCTTCAGCCCCATAAGGCTATTGTAGGAGCTAATGCTTTTGCCCATGAAAGCGGTATCCATCAGGTCAGTTGATGAAACCTTTGAAGTATTGCTATCTCCTTCATATCTTGTATGAAATGGACCAAGTCATTTGTCACAAATTCCTAGATGTAACTAAATGTGAGCTAGTTCGGTACGTGGTCAGTTGCTTATTGGATAAACAAGTGAAGAATGCGATATGATTGAGTTCTTTTCCTTATCATGGGAGCTAGAGTAATTACTTGTGTGACTAGATCCTGTCCATTAACTGGAAGAAGGCTATCTCATAATCTGTTTTTTTTTTTGTGATTATGAATTGGCCCTCCAGCTTTTTATAGAAGTTATCAACATACTAAGTTTCAGTCCCTCCCCATTCCATCCATCTCATCTTGTAGAAAAAGATAAATTAAATGAAGAACAATGGTCTCTTTTGAACTTGCATACTTAGTCAGTCTGCTACCTATTTGTATGTATTCTTCCTTCCCCCTTCCTAGTTGCTTATTCCAAAAAGCATCCTTCTGAAGCTCTTAACAGGACCTAATCATTGTCTTGTACGCCATTTAGGATGGAATGCTAAAGCACAAGGGTACATACGAAATTATATGCCCCGAAGAGATTGGGCTTGAGCGGTCAAATGAAGCTGGCATTGTCCTGGGGAAGCTTAGGTATGGAACCTCCCGACTTCTCCTGTCTTGTTGGCAAGTTGCAACAGCTATGCTATATATCATAAAAAATTATAACTAGTTCTCATCAAGCTTGTATCTGTGCATGAATGAAGTGACTGCTCCTAGTTCATCAACTGTGTACGATTAAATGCAGTCAGTAGATTAATGGATCAACTAAAGATGGTGGAATTAATTTTTAAGGAGATCTATTTTGAAAACGTGGGTTACATCTGTGAGAGTGTTGAGTGTGCCAAACGAGTCTCCATTTTGAAATAAGTTTCTTGCGGTAACAGTGAGCTTTATTTTCCGCCGATTCTGCCAGTAGACATTATAACCCTCCTGATTCTGCCCTTTGTTTGCATACAGTTTCTGATGATTCAGGTTTGAGAACATTTTTGTGTATTTTTCTTTTCCTTCGTGCTTCCAGGGCTGAACCGATTTTGAAACCACTATTATGGGCACAGAAATAATCATTATTACTTAGAATCTCATAGAGGAAGGTTCCTCCATTTGTCTAAAGCTCAAATATATGGTGAAATGGAATTAGTGTTATGACCCCCTAACATGTTCAATCTTTTGTGATATTATATAAACATCAACTGTTTGATAATATACGATGTACTGGCAAGTGTGTGCTACATGTATGTGTTTGGACATATATAACTTATTTTCTACTTTCACTTGGATGTTATATTATGCAGTGGGCGTCATGCACTGAGAGACCGTCTTAATGAGGTATGTACATGAAACCTCATCCATACACATGATGTACTCAATGTATCCTTAGGTTGCATTAATGTCATCTTTTCAACTTTCTCAGCTTGGTTATGAACTGGATGAGGAACAGCTAAACAACATTTTCTGGCGTTTCAAAGCTGTGGCTGAGCAGAAAAAGGTAGCAGCAGCTTATGTTGATCATTATGCTCCTTTTATAGTATGATATCAAATTGTTTTTTCGTCTAGCCCAGGTTTTTCTTTCCCAAATTTGGTGCTCTTTGCATTGGTTTTTTCGTTTTAACCGAGTTTGCAGCACATTTCTGTAAAGTGTAAACTGTATGTAATCTTGTAAAATCCAATATTGCGTATTCAGAGTTATCACCTAAACTTTGTGGATGTGAGAATTTAAAGGGGATTGGAGAGAAGAAAGCAGTACTCGATACGTTTTTTCAAAACAAAGAAACAGTAGTTTTTTAAGTTCATGCCACGGATCCCTAAGAGACTGCATGTTTTGCCCCTTGGTATTTTCTCTCGATAATGTTTTTGTTTGTCTGCCGTAAAAGGTGCTTATGGTATTTTTTTTAAATTACTTTTCGATTTGTGGTGAACCAGAGAGTTACAGATGCTGACATAATTGCCTTAGTATCTGATGAAGTTTTCCAGCCAGAAGTCGTGTGGAAGCTCCTCGACGTTCAGGTAATATTGGAATTCAGATTGTCTTGTTCCTTTTTTTCTGTGTTCATCTTCATTTCTTGCCCTTCTTATTTCGATATGGAAATGGAGTGCAGGTAACTTGTGGAACCCTTGGTCTGTCAACTGCAACAGTAAAACTGGCCGAAGCCAATGGGAAAGAGCATGTTGCTTGTTCTACTGGAACTGGCCCTGTAGATGCAGCCTACAAGGCCATTGATCTCATTGTGAAGGTACTTCATGTTAAGATTTCGGATTATATGTATTTTAATTACTGGTGGTCAGTTTACTGTTTCAAGGCTCTCTTTTATGATAAACCAGTTCAGATGATGCATAATCAGATAATCCACTGAAGTGCTCTGCATATTGCTTGACCAAGATTTAATACGTATAATCAGATGATGCATAATCTCGATCAATGATCTCTCCTTTTTCTTCTCTTTTTGGTTCTTCAGGAGCCTGTGACTCTGCTTGAATATTCCATGAACGCGGTAACAGAAGGCATCGATGCCATTGCAACCACCCGGGTTTTGATTCGCGGAGACAACAACTTCTCTTCTACAAATGCATTAACTGGTGAAGTTGTTCAAAGAACTTTCAGGTCAAAACCCACTTCCCTTCACTTCTCAGCTTTCAACGCTCTCAGAATTTTTAGCCCGAGTGAACTAAAAACAGAAGATAATTGGACTGACCTGCGTGGGTTTGGGTTCATACTCGCGATTATTCGGTCATAAGGTGGCATTGTTTTTTGTTGTCTGGTTCGGTAAATTACACAGTGAAGCACTTGTGTGTTTGTGTTCTGCAGTGGAACTGGAGCAGGGATGGACATTGTTGTCTCCAGTGTCAAAGCCTATGTTGGAGCTGTCAACAAAATGCTCGGTTTCGAAGAACGTTCCTTACCGAGAGTCTCGTCGGAAAGCAGCAAAGTTCCGGCCTAACCCTATGCCTTTACTCGGTCCAAAACTCGGGGATCCAGGTGCAGAGATAGGTGAAAGAATCTATCAGCTTTTAATCGTCGTTCTTCGTGCCTAATTTATGAATCTTTTTCGCCGAAACTAAGACTGTTAAGTGTAAAAAAAATGGAACAGTGGTTTGGATTCTGGTAAAACAGTTGCAGAACTTCATCATCTAAAGTCATTTTGTGAGCAGGAAAAGGAGTTGACTGATGTGTAGTTTCCACTTGGAATTTGTCTGAATAATGCGAGCAGGAAAAGGAGTTGCATGATATAATGATATTATATAATTATCTTTAAAAAATTAAATTAAACGTATGCGAAGTAAAAATAAAAAAAATGAAATGATACGTTTTTTAAAATGACGTTTTTTTATAAAAAAAAAAAGTGATTTCTAATTAATTTCGAATCAGTTTTTTAGGTTTTATAAAAATTTATATCCATTTCAGATTTTTAGTTTTTTTAAAGATGATATCCATTTCGCTTTTTTGTATATAATGTCTGTTTATTTTAGATTTTATTAAGATTCTTTTAACAAAAATAAAATACATATTTTTAGAAAAAGTCGTTTCCATTTTTTTTTGTTATTTTTATTATCCAACTTAGTTTTCATTAATTTTGGGTCAAAATTACATCGAAGTAACTCTGTCAAATACCTCCAACTCCAAAACCTTTGTTAACACTAGATGAGGACCCGCGCGCTGCGCGGGTTAAATTGTTTTTGAACTGTATCATTTGTTGACATTAATATAATAAAAACTTATAAAGATTATTTGTTACATTCATCCAAAAATATATCTATGTAATTTAATTATTGTAAATCATCATTATATTATTTATAGAATGAATATTAAAAAAATATAAAGTTGTATAAAAATATGAGTGTCGTTGTCTACACGTTATATAGGTTCGATGTAAATAATTTGTTATGAGTGTCTTAAATCTCGATCTTTTTTTATGCGTGATGTGCGAGTTATTTTTTATTTGATTATAAAATATTATTGATATGAATGTATTAAAAAATATTTTATATATTATGTAAGGTGAAAACCCTTAAAAATTCTCAAACTTCAAATTCAGTTGAAAACTAATGTGAAAATTTATACTGGTGTGTCATATATATCACATTGGAAATCTATACTTTTTTTTCTTCCTTTGCAAACTATACCTTTATATAAATTTTTGACAAAAATATCCTTACTTTATTATCTAAATTCAGTATTGTCATTTAGTGCTGCAAAAAATATGCAGTATAAAAAAGTAATTGTTTTTTGGAAACTGTATTATCCGGGAGAACTGTTTTTTCATCTATGAAACATGTTTTTCATCTAACACCCATTTTCGTCCGGGAGAACTATTTTTTATCCGAAAAAACTGTTTTTCAACCGGATAAAAAACAGTTCTCCGGAACCAAAAACAAATTCTCCCGGACGGAAAACATATTCAATCATTATATATATATATGTATATATATATATAAATAAATGAATAAATAAATATTAAACTTTTTTCGATTGTTTTTGTTTTTTGTAGTTTTTGAATTTTTTTATAATATTTTGTAAATTCAAGAATTTATTTATATTAAAATATGAGGTAATTATTCATGCAAACTTATGATTATTATCATTGTTAATATAACACATAAAAATTCTAGATTATTTAATATATATATATAAAACAATATCATTATTATACTAATAATGTAATAATGTTTATATTCTTATATACATATATATATATATATATTGATTGAATACTATAATTTTAACTTTACATAATATATATAATAATTTTTATACATTCATATCAATAAATTTTATAATAAACAAAAAATAATCCACACATATACATAAAATAATTGTATAAATATACATACCTAAGCATATATACATATATATATATATATATATTTATATATATATATGCATGCATATATATATATGTATGTATGATCTGCTCTTTCCGGATGTTCCACGCCACTACTTCTTCTAAAACTTGTTACCCATGTTTTTGTGTGAAGATACACATCCACCCATATTCGAATTCTCCTGGAATCCAAATGTTAAAGAGATCAAATCTGTTAATGAAATCTCAAAGATCTGTTGAAGATGAAAAAAGATAGAAACTATTTAGATTGATATCAGTGATACGTTAATATTTAGAAAATATTTAGACTAAATCATTTATCAAATTATCGTTCTTTATATAATTAGTTTAATAAATAATATATATATATTACCAATAAATAATTTATGTCCAAAAAACGATCTTAAAAAACTCAATTAACTCACCTAATATTTATTCAAAAACCCTTATTTTGCTAAGCCAAAAATAATAATATTATTTAGAACATATAAACACAATTTCTTTGAAGAATGTAAAAGGCTATCATACATTTTCCAATTTGAACAAACTCATATAATAATTAATCTTGGCCACCGTTTTTGTTTTCATTAGTGCTCTAAGGAATATTACATTGCATATTATTTTCGTTAAAAATCAAGATTATTAGAAAATCTTGGAAATCCTCACTAAGTCACTCCCACATGCACACAACTTTTGATAAAAACAATAAAAACTATTGAAATTAGAAATAATTGCAGAAAAAAATAAAGAGAGTTACAGTATGGAGGGCAGGAAGAAAGGATAAAGAGGCAAAAGAGAGACGTGGGAAACTTTTCGTGTGTTGTTCATTCCAAACTATTCATACAAAATATTTATACAAACTCAAATCTAAACCAAATCATACTAAACCGAACACCAAATCTAATACTAAACCGATACTCTCTAATATATATATATATATATATATATATATATTGAGAGAGATGATAAAATGTGGATGTCTCCCAAGTCAATGTGAAACTTTTAAAATGATACATAGGGAAAAAAAAATTCTAAACCACCAAAGATAATATATAACTCACATGCATTTGTATGAGGATTGGTATTTCTTGACGGTTTAGATAGACCCCCTTGACTTGCTGTCCGTTGTAGGTTTGTTTCATATTTTTACCCTTTTGCATCGGGTATCCCGTTTGCTTTTGTGTATTTCATTACGATTTCATTTATGGATGTAAAGGAACCTTTTTTTACCAGTAATATGAATCACACGTAAACAAAAAAAAAACTCACATGTATCAAGAAGTCAATACAATTTCAAACTTTACAATTTGTTCTTCGTCTTTGGAGGACTCTCGAACATCCAGCTTCGCTTTCTGTACATCCCACTTCGCCTTCTGTCTTGCTGATGGAGGAAGCGTTAGTTTGACAATAATTAAAAGAATTATCACCGTTTTGAACATGAGGCCATTTTTTTATATCGAGCTCTGTTTGATTCATGTATTATATAGAAATGCTAATAAGATAAAAATACAATAAAATAAAATTGAAATTAATTACAAAAAGAGAGCTACCGTTTTTCCATTAGCAGATTAGTGAATAGTCTATCCAATAATAAATATTCTTACTACCTTTTTTGTTTGTAAGTAGTGGAGTGGGCAATAAATATTGTATTTAAATTATAATAATACATTTATAAGTCATATTCTATTTTTATAGTCGAAATAAGATATCATTTTTTAGAATTTTTTAGATTCTTCTTGATATCTTTGAAGCATACCAGATATTCGACTATATACCGAATGATAAGGAAATTAAGTTACCTGGACACCGTATGCCGCATCTGAGGAGTTAAAACAAAAGAGGTATTGAAGACAAAAAGCGGATTGGTTAACTCGTTAGAACGGACGTTACGAAAAAATATTGATCGGCTTAATTAAAACATCATAATTAATTTTTTATTTAATAATAAATAGATAACAAATTTTGTTTTATGGGACGACTTGTAAATTGAATCGTTTTAGTATGATCAAAGCTCTATTGATATATAATACCGGAGAAATATTTCACCTTTTAAACTCCACAGATAAGTTTTTTAATTTCTTTTGTAATTTGACGAACATGGTAAATTTTTTGTTTGGCAAAGATAGCGAGTAGTTATATAAACATATCAAAAAAAAATTCTTTGCAATATTACAAATAATATCATCAACCTTTTCAACAAAAATATTTTTCGTCTAATCAAAGGTTTCCACACCATTATCACTAAATTAAAAATAAAAACCATATTTTTTCATAATTACCGACGTTTCAGTCAATTTCAATTGTTTATGTGTTCGTTATATATATATATATATATATATATATATATATATATATTATTTTCACACTATTCTTTTCAATATACTTTTTCGCCAATTATAATATGTGCAAATCATTTCCAAACAATATATGAACAATACAATGGTATACTTTGTTGTCTTCCACGACAGAGTAGAATTCAGCTAATTCAGGTTTTGCGTTTTCAAGGAATTCAAAGAATACTTTTGAGTACTTGTGTAATTTTATTAACAAAATAATGCAAAAAAAAAATGAGAAAAGAGTCGTCATTCACTTCATAATTTAATACAAATTTATTCGCGAATTTCGATATATAACAAAAAGAATTTTAAAAATTATTTACAAACTGTGACAAAAAATGTTATCATTTATAATGTTTTAATTCTTCCTAATTTAAATTATATTGATCACCAAAATGATTATTGGTTACATATTTGTGTTCTCGAATTTGACCATAAACCTATATCGCATCTAAAAAAATCACACCAATATCATTTGTACTACAAAAAATTAAAACATATAGCATCAAAAATGAAACGTAAAACTCGTTGGAAGCCGACTTTGGTACACGTTTGTAGTACTTGTACACATTCTCGAATTTCTCCTTACATTTCTTGACACTTCTTGGATACCCAAGCTCAGCCATTTTCCTGGTCATTCATCAAGAATCCATATAAGATATATACTTGCATATACATAAATATATATATGCATATATGTGTGTTTAGAAACCCATTCTTCAAGAACACATACATATGAGTATATGTAGAAAGACATGTATATATATGCATATACATATGAAGTCTTGTATAAAAATCATGAGTAATAGTTACATCAAATTGAAAATAAAAATAATAATCCTCAGATAAGAGTAATATGCATACATATATACATGTATATGTATATACAAATGTGTTATATATGTATATATAGTTTGGAGTAGTAACAAAATAAATATGGAGATTTATTCCTACAAGAGAGACTTAAAAGCATAATTTCTAAAAGTTTAGTCTATCTCCGATTGTATCTTCAGGAGAGCCAAAATCTCCAACTGAAACCATCGGGTTACTCTCTCTCCACAGCCGAGGACTGTGGAAATATCACCGTAATCCTCCAACTTCACATCCATCTCTTCCTCTCCTACCGTGACTACCACGATTTAGTTTTTTTGGTTTTTGGCTTGATCCCCCAATATATATGTATGTAATATATGCTAATTTTGGAATAAAATGTTTCTAAGGACCAAATGTTGATATTTATTTATATTTAAAGTTGTAAATTTTTGGTGTATGGCTTTTAAGCCATTACCATTAAATCATGACGATTTTGATTTTGGAATATAATATTGAAGGTTTTATAAAAAAAAATATCTTTACAATGATAATTTGGAAAGAGATATAAATGAAAGATACGTTTCACACTAAAATATATTAGTATTTTATTAGATTTAGTTATTTTAATAATAAATTAATTTTAATATGAGAAAAGTGAGAGGTATTGAAAAAACTTTGGCATTTAAAACTGATATTATTATATTTTATTTGGTTATTATTAATTTTTCAATGATAATTAAAAATTTGCTACATGGATGATGATCACCTACTCTATTGTCAAATTAATAGCCATGGTCATTCACCACCCAAAGTAATGACCACTATGCATAATGATACGTTTCTCCCATTACTAAGCTAATAAATAGTCTTGGTCATTTCATATTTTTAACTTTTTATTCTATCAAATATTAATTACATGTTAAATCTAATCCAAATGATTTTTATTTTCTCAAAATATTATCATTTTAGTTACCATAATTAACATATAAACAAAGATGAATTGCTAAAACTCAATTATAAATAAAGATTAACATATTATCATTTTAATAAGAACAAAAATTTATTGAAAATCAATAGGATGACATGAATTGACTTTTTTTATTATTTTTATTTTGAAGGTAAATTTAAAAATGCACACAAATATAATATAAATAAAATTCATTTTTTTATTTGGACATAATTTTTTCAAAATAATATCATTTGAATTTAATATATTAAACTAACAACGAAATTAGAAATTATTTTCATTATATGAAACAAAAGTTCATATTTTTTTCCCAAAATCATATTTATAATATTCTAATTAAATAACTAATGAGAAATTTAATAGGCACACACATATATATATGATTAGTGAAACGTACGGCGTAAATAGACGTAAGTAGTTTTTTACTCGTAAGCCATAAAATTTGTAATTTAATTTTTTTATTATAATGTTTAAGTTATTATTTTTTATTAATTATCTTATTATGAATTTTTTTCATATGAATTTAGTTGAAAAATATAGAATATTTTTTTTGATAAAGATAAAATATATGTTTTTATTAGTTTATATTATTATATAAAATTAATTTAATATGAATTAAAATTGTTTAGAAAAAGAGAAAATATATATATAGAAAATTAGTGAAACAATGTGATATTCATAGATACACCAATCTCCATCATCCCCGCCTATGTTATGAGCCGACCGAGAAAGTCTCGAAAATTCGCCAACATGTGCCTTTCTTGCTCTGCATAAACCTCGGTATCCCGATATTTTACCTTTGCTTCTTGCTTTTCCTCGTTTTTTGTCAATCGGGCCTCTGCTACTTTCGTTGATATGATCATACGATTTTCATCGCATATCAATGCCCGTGTTGCTGGAGATAAATGCCTCTCTTCCTCTGTATCATGTTGATATAGTACAGAGTCGTCGCTCTTAGTAGCTGCTTAATCCTCAACCCGAAGAACATCAATGGAAGACTCTGGAAAGGCGATCTGTAATGTCTCATGTTGTTTTTCTCTATTCTCTTGGACCATCCGTCGAGATCCGTCGCAAAGAACACCGGATCTTTACTCTCCGCAGAGCTCGCCGGGTCCACCTCCACAATCTTCGCCGGCAGATACATATACATCATATATACACATATACACATACAAAATACATTCATATATATATATACATATACACACAAATATATACACATAAATACATCTATATATACATATATACAAATTACAAATTCAAAATAAAATACAAAAATTGCATTCATACATACTACACAAATATAAACACAGATACATGCAAATAAAAAGTAAAAAATATAAATTTATACATATATATATATATATATATCCATACATATATATCCACCATTTTAGTAGCTTCGTGATTGTCATCGCCATCTTCTTCTTCCGGTTCTTCACCGTTGGTTTAAGTTCCACCGCCATCTCATCGGAATCTAATTCTTCCGATTCTTCTCTTTGGAAAGGCCAAGAATTAGTGGTTTCATGTTATTTAAAGAAAAAGTTACGAAACATAAATGGAGAGATTTGGAAGACAAAAAGGTTTTTTACAAGCGGAGAGTTATAATTCTAAATCAATTGTTTTAAATGTAATGATTGTTATTACTTAAATGTAATTCTCCTTTTATACGTTTTATTTAGTAATTCCATATTACTTACGTTTTTTTTAGTAACTCCATATTAAGTTTATAATTTTGTCAATATATTAACTCCATGTATGTACATATATTTTTATATATATTAACTCCATATATTAGTCCGTTACATTATATGTTAGTGGGCTAATTAATTGTTAATTATTATATGCAAAACATTATTATATGCAAAACTCAATGCTAATCTAATTAAATGTTCATATAACTAAACATTTTTATAACCAATCAAAATTTTAGAAACATCCATGTAGGATGATGAGGTGGCTTCACCAAATTGCTTTAAACTTCTTTATTAATATATATAGATATAGATTCATCCATAATTTGTTTAAAAATTTCAGATTATCCTATACAAAATTATTACCAATGGATTCGAATTCAATATAATATAACAATAATATTGTTGGAAACAGTTGCTTAACTGTGACACCAACGACGAGTTTTTACTATTTTTACATGGACAAATAAAAGTTCTTCTCCTCCGTTTTAACCAACCGCCATTGTCTTCCTACATTCTTCAATCAAATTCTGATAACCTCATCAAATCTATTGTCTGCATCGACCGATTCATTCTCTGTTCATAATCTCATCAAATCTCTCGTGGGCATTCCTCAAAATCTCATCTTGTTACGGAAATATGGAGGATCAGCTCAGACAATTACATGCCATATTCGACCGGTTCGACATGGACTCGGACGGGAGCTTAACCGTCCTAGAACTCGCGGCCTTGCTCCGCTCGCTCGGCCTCAGACCTTCCGGCGATCAGATCCACGTCCTGTTAGCCAGCATGGACGCAAACGGCAACGGATCCGTGGAATTTGAGGAGCTCGTCGGGGCAATCCTCCCCGACATGAACGAGGAGATCTTCGTGAACTCGGAGAAGCTGCTCGAGATTTTCCAGTCTTTCGACAGGGACGGGAACGGTTTCATCAGCGCGGCGGAGCTCGCGGGCGCAATGGCGAAAATGGGTCAGCCCCTGACGTATAAAGAGCTCACGGAGATGATCAGAGAGGCCGACACCAACGGAGACGGCGTCATAAGCTTCGGAGAGTTCGCTTCAGTCATGGCGAAGTCCGCATCCGAATTCTTCGGTATCCCTTTCACTTCATGACAGTTATATGTCTGACCACAAACAGTAGAAAAGATTTGTAAAATTTCCTTCTTCTTGGTTCATATCAGAATCAGTCTCCACCTTTGACTTTGATAATATACTCTGCAGCATCAGGTGAAAAAAAGTTTTTTTTTTTGGGAATGTTCCAATCTCAGTGGAACGCCATTGATTCAGACGGAATCAGATCAAATGAAGAAGACAAAACATGTTTCTGATGGATTTAATCCGATCATTAATGAAATTCATGAACTTTCAAATCAAAAAGTATATGCAAATCATTCAACGCGAAATCTGCCACAGTTTTGAACAAAAACAGGAAGGACAAGCTCGCATTTCCAACAAATGCTGTGAAATATCTATTTTAAAACATCCAGACAATCTGACAAATCCAAAAACTAATGAAAATAATTAGTAAAAGAATACATAAAATGGCACACAACGTGATTGATCCTAATGAAAAATAAAATAAAATAAAATCAGAGACAAACACACCCTCTATGCTGTTTTCCTCTTCTTCTCCATAATCTTTTTTTTTTTTGTGTGTTATGTTTTGTCTTTACAGATGTTACAAAAAAAAAAGTGGGAAAAACCAAAAAGAAAAAGGAGAAAAGGAAGTTGGAGAAATCAAATATGTCAGTATCAGAATCTTGTGGTGGGACGAGCAAAGCCAGGCTGCAAAACATGAACACAAAAAAAAAAAAAAGGCCGTAACACTTAATAGTTTCTGTCAGAAAAACGAGGTTTTGATGTGATGTTCTGTTTGGATTGGTAAGAATGAAGGAAAAAAGGAAACAGTACCTGAAGAAGCATGGAAGGAGCTGCAGAAGCGGAAGCTTCTAGAACAACATGGCTTCTGGTTTTCCTTCCATTCAGTGAAGGGCTATTTCCTACTGTGATATCCCAAAAGCTTCTCTTTTTAGCTGTTGTTGCTAATGGAGACTTGAACCGATGGCTCGGGCTCTTCAACTCGCTCGAAGGGTCATTCTTCTTCTTCTCCCCCCTAGTGATTACCCTCTTCGGTTCTCGAGTTCTTCCCGGTGTTATCTCCCTTTTTCTTGAAAGATCTCGAATGAGTTCGTCTTTTTTCTTGATCTCCAATGTATGTTCTTTCTTCATTCTCTCCATCTCCATTTTTAAAGATTTTACTGTAAGTTGAAGCTCCTTGACAGTTTCTTCTGCCTTTCTCCTTTTGGATTCCGGGGTGAAACACGTGCCTGACAAGAACGAAGGCCTCGGTTTTCGTTTCTCGTTTGGTTGAGCGGTTGATGGCGGAGTCATGAGAGATGTGACTGAAGGTGGAGTCATGGAAGCAATATTGTTTGCAGCCAAAGACTGTGCTTGGAGGGTGAGGAGCTTTTGATGTTGCTTTGCCAGTTGAACACGCAGTTCTCGGTTCTCTTTCTGAACCTCAAACAAGAGCTTGGCCTGGTCTGGTCCTTGTCCTGATCCTGGTTCAGACACTTGGACCACCTCTTCATTTGTTTCACAACCCTGAATCCAAAAAACAAGAATTAGAAACCATTTTCTGAAACTGTTGCATCGATATGAAACCCCGAAAAGCCTCTGCAATGTGTACCTTAGTGCGGATCTCCTTAGCTCGATCCGCCCAATGGAGGGTATTTTGCGTTTCACCGAAAGAATGATTGCTCGGACTGATATTAGCGATCATCACAGTGTTACAGGCACCTCCTAATGAGTCCTTGAGTAGCTGAGTGAGCTTTGAATTCCTGTATGGGATATGCTTCTTGCCTTCCACTAATGCATTGATGCAACTACTCAGTGCAAGAAGCGATCGGTTTATGTTTGCACCCTCTAGAGATCGAAGTGTCCTCTGGTCAGTTGCAAGGGCTCGCTCTGATCCCGCAAGATCGATGAGAGAGAGCTTTCCAATCCGGTTTATGATGCTCATGGACGCATCTCTTGTCCTGTACTCCACCATGACCTAGAATCCAGTCAATACAAGAACAGATAAACCAGAGTCATTCACCAGGTTCCTGGCTTCTATAAACCGATATCTTGGAAAGGTAAAACGGGTTTAAGCCTCGAGAAACGATGATAATATGACATGAAACTACTACAATTCATCAAGATCAAGATATTGGAACACACTGAGTCATATGCATTGGGAAATACTCCATTTCAAGATGAAGAAAACGAGATTTACCTGAAGAATAGCATGTGAACGTGAAGAAGTTTCGTTGGCACGAGTTGGCTCGGTAGTTCTGTTTTGATTTCCACGTTGGAGCAACACCATGACCTGCCATAACGAAAATGAGGCCAGATTCCTCTATTGGATTTTTCGTTTTCTTCGAGTTTATTTGAATTAACTCTGATACCATATTGAATTTGAGCAATTCAACTGTATTGAATCCGCAATTATGGAACTTGGATATTCTAAACCGAACCAAACCAAACTAAACCGGCCTAGAGTTAAAACAAGAGACAGAGTAGATAGATACTTCATCGGTGGAATAAGCTCGGTATTGAGTGAGGCCAGCTGCTACAATTCCCTGTTAGACATTGAAGGCATTTCTCTCACAATAAGTGAAAAGAATGTACAATAGAAAGCCGAAAACTTTCTAAGTGATTAGGTTTCCGCACCTGTTTATCTTCGCGGAGTACTAGAGGTCTACCGGGTGAGAGCAAATCTCTAACCGTTTCATTGTAAACCTCGAGATACGAAAGATGAACAACGTGATTCCCATCGACGCTTCTCTGTCTAACCTTTGCAAAAAGATCTTTAATGGCTAAAACCATTACACCCGGATTGTCAACCGTGCCTAGCATCGTGTACGTTTTGCCAGCTCCCGTGGCACCATAGCAGAAAACAGAACCATTCCTTCCTTGAAGAACTGCCTCTACAAGAGCTGACGTTCTGAAAACCCAAAACAAAGAACAGAGAAGATGCTTCATCAGAACATGGATCGTAGTAACTTTGCGTATAGATCAAACAGCTAGAGTTTCATAGTACCGAAGAAATCACAAATTCTATATCCTGTAATCTGTGAAGTTACACTTACGTTGTGGAATAGACTTCCTGTTGAGTCGTGGTCTCGGGGAAGGAAGCGTCGAAGGTGAAATGGCGGCCTCGGAGCCTTTTCAGCCTGAGATAATCGTTCTCACTCGCATATTCCGTCAGATAAACATCTCTCTTATTCACTATCTTCACGCAACACCGAGACCCGGCCTCTTTCTCTTTCTTCGCCATTGGCCTAAGCCTCAAAAAAACGAGAATTCGACTCCCATTCTCATCGAAATTCTCTGTTTTCTCCACTTTATCAACCTGTGTGACATTATTAGCTCCATTAACCTCATCTTGATCTGGATTCTGCTGCACAGATGCTCCCATGGAGAGCTTTCTCATCACATTAGAGGAAGATTCTCGCTTTTTCGGATACGAAGTGATTCGATCAGCACCCACTATTACATTGCGATCAATATCCATTATTACATTGTTCTCCTTAGCTTCCTCACCACCGTGGGGCTGCGACAAAACCAGATTTCTCGTGGCTGTAGTGTTTGCATCGTTCTCTCTCATCGTATTGTGCTCCAAGTTCGAATTTTTCACCTCGTTTCCCAGGCCCTTTTCTCCCTTCCTGCAAGAATCAAGCAGCTCGATGCTCGGGTGAGTGGTGAATCTCTGTTCTTCGTGTTTCGGCGACTGATTAGGGTTTCTCAGAGCAAAAGAGGCTCTCTTTTGCTGTTCGTACAAAAGGGTCAAAGCCCTCATCTTCTCTTTCAGCCCTTGATGCGGATTTCGCATCGGGAGAGTCGAATTGGCGTTTTCTTGCTCATTCTGCTCTTGCCTCAGAACCTTAGAACGAGTCGATACAGGCATTTTTTTCTTGCCCTTTCTTATGATTTTCTCACCATCCAAACAAACCCAGATGAAAATTTTCGCAGACCCAAGCGGAGAGATTGCAAGATTTTACCTTTATTGTGGAAGAAGAAGGGCAAGAACGAACAACAACTACAGGAACAAAATTGTGTGTGATCTCTCAAATGTTAAATTAGGACCCAATGTGCGCCGTTGATTCGACTAAAATCCGACGGTCGAAGTTAATGCGAGGGAGATCTGAGATTTCAAAGTGCAAACTATTGCTACTACCACTCCTATTTTTGGCTTTATTTACTCTCAGATATGTGAATCCTTGGAGTGGCAAAAGTAAGTACTGGACTGGAGATATTAAAAGAAGAAAAAAAAGAAAAAGAAAAAGAAAAAAAGACTATATGGACGAATTAAAAATTTTGAAAAAGTGATTGCAACGGTCGAAAATTCGTGCCGTCAGGTCAACGGTAATTTAGCTATGGGCCCCACTTTAACTTTTAATTCAAGAGAAATCTAGATGGATAAAAATCATAAAATAATTGTGGTGTGTTTTTATTCATTATGCTTATTCGTTTTAATAGTATTTTAATATCTAGAAAATTTTAAAGAAAGTATATAAAAGAATATAATTTATACTTAGAGTACAACAAACGAAAAAATATTTGTTTGGAAAAAAATTGGATATCAATTTCGGATATATATAAAGAAAAATCTCTTATAAGAACATAAATTTATTAAAATGTATTAGATAAACATATAAATAAATAAAAAGTGTATACAAAAATTTCTATGATTGGCAATCGTTAACAATGCTAGATATCTAACGGAATATGGTAAAAGAAATTGGCATGGCTTGTTATAATTTCAATGTCAATATCAAGTAACCGTCATGTTACCCACACATCAACGAAAAATGTTACATCAAACATTTAAGAAAATTCAAAACATATACATATATACACACACATATATATAGCCCTATATATATTTATAACACGCTTAGACACATATATGCATATACACAAGAATGCACTTACATATATATATATATATACATATATATATCCACATATTTATACATAGAGATAACTAAATACATAGTAATACCTAAATATACATGTATATATACACACATATTTTTAGATATATATAAACATATACACATTTATCTATACATGTATATATGTATATACAAATATACGCACTTCACATATTTATATATATCCATGCATTATACACATAATGTATCGTGTATTGTTGATAATCGAAGCATACCAAGATTTACATAAATAGTGTATCATGTATTATTGATAATCGCATAAGTACTTTATATATACACCGCAGTTTCCTCTCATTAAAATTCATAATTCATATACTAATATGATAAAAAAAAAAAAATAGATAACCACAATACATAAATATCGAAACTCCTCCACAAATGTGGTAACGTGTATGACATTGGACGATATTTAAATTTCGACAAAAATGTTTATCTCATTAATAGATTATTTATCACGAAAACTGTCTCATATTCCAAAAACCCTAAAAAAATCAAACATATCGATGGAACCAATTCGTATAGACGCTTTCGTTCTCACAACCAAACAAATTTGGAGATTCACCAACCTCTCCTTTCAAGAAGAGTCATATTTGTAACTTTTTGGTTCGTTCTCGATCTTTGCATTCAAATCTCTCGTCGTTTTCGTAACAACTCTTAATTCGTCTCCAAGTTCTTTTTTGTCTCTTTAGTTCTCCTTTGGGATTTCAATTCCGAATCAAACTCCTGCCCCAAAAAAAAAACAAAATATAAATTTTAATATCTTACCATTAATTAATAAGATCAGTAAACCTGAATTTTTTTTTTTTAAAAAAAAACTTTTTGGTGGAAATTTTGTAAATCCATTGTTGAAGTTAGGAGTCGTATATGTACACAAGGAAGATAATTTACTATTGAAGAAAGTTTTGTGTAAATCGTGCAATGTATTTTGGATATTAGAAAACATGAGTTAGCATCGTACGTACGTGCAAACTAAGTGCATGGGTTACGATGAAAATTCATATTGTATAGATAAATATTGGTGGAGAATATCTAAATAGATTAGTTGAATGATATTAGAAATATGTATCTGAAATTGGTATTAGACGAACAAAATTAGAGAGTTCCAAAAATGTATATGAATAATCAAATCTTCTTTAAAATCCCATATACTCGAACCTTCATCCACATACGAATAAGCGTTTACTATAAATAATCATATAAATTGTTTGACTCGTGTGTGTGTGTGTGTGTGTATGAGATACATGAGTCCATTATATATACACACAAATTTAATTTGTTTTTGTACAATTTGAAAAATATTACAATACCAGATTATTTCGTTAGGAGTTTACATATTTCGAATTCCGTATATTACAGTGCCTGTATTTATATGTGTATATATAGTTTTATACGAAAGCTTGACTATATATGTTGTGTATCTATATGTGTAATTATAGTTTTATACATAATCTTCATTTAAATAAAAATACCATATGGTATATAATTCTTCAAATGGATAAAAGGACGAAGCTTTTGAAGACCCTTGAATGGCAAACAACACCGTTTTTATACATAATGTCAATTCACCCACCTACCACTATTTCTCTTTTAATAAAAGAATTCATCTATACGCATAAAATCTGCAAATAGTTTGAATTTATAAAAATACAATTCCAATTTTATAATTTTTGGAAGATAGATGGGATTTGAACTATTAGATTGCGAATTTTATCCATCCATCTTTATTGTGGGAAAAACGTTTTGATTTGTGTAAAAAACAAATATTTAGTTACTATAAAATTATAAATAATGCGGATTGTTTTTTTTTAACTAACGCTTAATAAATTTCAAAATACAAAATAATTTTTAAATGGGGAACTCTAAATTAAAGGTTGATGGAAATTTTCAAAAACTGTCGATGTAATTTGTTGGAATTTCTGTAATTCATGTTGTGTTTGCATATTTGTTCTGTAATTTTTTTTTGGACCATACAAAAAAAAATTGTCGATGCATTTTATTTCATTAGATAACAACTGATCCAGTTACAACACTTGTGTCTGAACGAAAGTGTTGAAAAAAAATTGCCAAAGACCAAATAAATAATTTTTGTTATGACATGGTCCAAGTCCAGTGTTTGAGGGAACAAGTTGTTCCATAAATTATATTTTCTCTTACAAAGCAAATTCTTCACCACGACTAAATTAATTACTTAGTTAATTTCCTCGAATTTTCGTTGTATTTTTTACTGTGGAGACCAATAAAATCATTATATTATATATATATATATACACACATTATTTTTGCACTCTAATGTCTTTGCTACTCTCGTAGATTTTGGTCCTTTTTGGAAAAGTCTCGACGACTTTTAATGTTGACTTATTCTAATTACATTATCCGTATTTTCTTTGTTTGAGATTTCGTTGTGATTATTAAAAAATATTTTTATATTCTGTAATTATTTTCCATTATTATTATATTTTATTGAATTTGATTTAGATTTTATTAACATTATATATATAATGGATTTCTGCATAAAATTAATTATCTCTTGTTTGGATTATCGGATTTGTTTTGATTACGTTCAAACTAAAATCATTGCTCCTAATACCGACGAAGACACGTGTGCTGACGCTTTGTTTTTGTTTTTTTTGGAAAATATTGTCCGCTTCTAATTTGACAAGTTTACACCTTTGTCAAAGAATTATTACATTACGGTATGTGGAACGTTACATTTGTTCCAAATTAAATATCTCAAGACCGCAGAAAAAAAAAATCAACAAAAGATATTTTTAAAATTTACTTTAACGCCTCTATTATTGGAAATTAGACAAATAAAAGTTGGAAAATCAAAATTCGAATATTAAAAATTCATCTTCTGTTGAAGAATCTCCGCTAGGCATTAATGGTAATGGCTTTTGGAGATATTACCATTAACGTCAATCTAAGCCCATTTATTTTTTTAGTGTGACATATCTAATTGCGTCACTCCATATACTATTTTCGTTTTATTTCCTTTTAATTTTCATTGAGATTATTGGATATTAAACTTCCTTGTTTTGCATATATCTATAATAGAAATTCTATCTATTGTTCTAATTCGTGGAAGGTTTCTAGATGGTAAAAAAAGAGTACAAACATACGTGGCATGAAGAATAAAATTTCTAAAAAATTATTAGGAAATATTGGGTTAGAAGGGATAAGTATCATCGTTTTATATGTTATAAAAGTAAATGGTTGGATATATGACACCAATTTATAATAGAAAATGACTAATTGCATGGCCGTCAAAAAAAAAACGAAAAAAAACAAAGTATAATTAAAAAAAAGCCAGCAGCCGCACGGGAAATTATAATAAAATAATTAGTCTTAAAATCTCAAAAAAATTATTAACTCTTACTTGGAAAGGGCGACGAATGTTCACAGACGCTATCTATACAGACAAAATCCAACTAAAGTATTTCTCAACCAGTCAAATAATGCCACGTGTTATCCACAAAAAACCTTAAACCGTCGGTCGAATCCGCGCATAAATATCCCTCGCCACAATCTTTGAATTGGTCACTGCTCAAAGTGGAAGAACTCTTTCAAGGCTCTCCTCTTTGTCCCTCAACTAAAGTATTTCTCAACCAGTCAAATAATGCCACGTGTTATCCACAAAAAACCTTAAACCGTCGGTCGAATCCGCGCATAAATATCCCTCGCCACAATCTTTGAATTGGTCACTGCTCAAAGTGGAAGAACTCTTTCAAGGCTCTCCTCTTTGTCCCTCTTCATCTTCTCCCCCCCCCCAAAAAAAAAAAAAAAAAAAAAAAAAAAACTAAACACACCCTTTTTTCTCTCTCTTGATAACTTGAAGAAAATGTCGATACGACTTATTTTCTTATGCTTATTAGTGTTAATAAGAAGATCGATCTTATTCTTATAAACCCAAAATTCTCCTTTCGTCTTTTTTTTTTCCCGTTCTTAAATCGTTTTTCAGAGCCGTTTCGCTGCTTATATGGCTCCAAACCCTACTTGAAAACACGAAAATCTTCAAGAACGTCCATCGCTACGGATCGAAAGAGAGACCATGAGCCCTTTTGGAGATCGGTAGCGGAGGGGAAAGAAGCCGAGAAATTCGTCGAAATTGAGAGAGAATTTAGAGGGAAAAAAAATGGTGAGGACTCCATGTTGCAAAGCAGAGGGATTGAGGAAAGGAGCATGGGCTCCCGAAGAAGATCAGAAACTCATCGCTTACGTCAATGAGCATGGCGAAGGTGGCTGGCGAACCCTCCCCGAAAAAGCTGGTATTTTTTATTTTAAAATCTTATTTTTTGTTTGTCGTTGTAAGACATAAAATAATTATTGTAATAATGTTTTCTACGATTCTGATTGGTTGATAGGTCTCAAGAGGTGCGGGAAGAGTTGCAGGCTGAGGTGGGCGAATTATCTTCGACCCGACATCAAACGAGGAGAGTTTAGTGAAGAAGACGAAGAAACGATCGTTAGACTTCATGCAACTCATGGAAACAAGTGAGCGAATTAAGAATTAGCACAGCAAAACAAAAAATTGATAATTGGTACTAATAACGATAATAATCTCTTTAAGGTGGTCGGCTATCGCTCGGAGATTGCCCGGGAGAACGGACAACGAGATAAAAAACCACTGGAACACTCACATTAAGAAGCGTTTGATCAAGAAGGGCATCGACCCCCTGACCCACAGGCCGATATCGGGAAATTCGGACAGCGAATCCAGCCGAGAAATGCAGAAGGACTGTCCGGAGACGACAGTGGAGGAAATCAGTACCCGTCAGGGGCAAGATCTTGAGCGTCGGAAGCCGCCATTGTCACTCTCAGCTAAGTTCCTTAACAAAGTTGCCAACAAGTTCGCTAGAAGAGTCAACAAAAGTGCTTTGACTGAAATAATCGAAGGTGGTGGACCGCAAACCAACAACAACGTAATCAACGGTAATAGCGTTTGTAATAATAACGATAATTCCATTGAATCTGAACGTGAAAGATCAATAAATTCGTCTACATCAACTTTGAATCTTCTCAACAAGATCACTCCAAGTAGGCTTCGATCCATCCTCGACGGAGAATGCCACCCACCGTCCGTGTCCATGTCCATGTCCTCGGCCTCTTCACCGTCCGTCAATGACCCTTTAACTTATTCTCTCGAGATGAAGATGGGCGATAAGCTTAACGGTGTTTGGAGTGGGAATGATTATAGGGACATTGAATTCAATAAGTTCTTGAGTAGTATCGCTAATGATGAAGATTTCATGGGAGATAACTCTAGGGTTGGGGACATTGTGTTTGTGAACGAGTTCACGGGGATTCTTCAGGATGATGGACCGTATGACACCAACATGATGATGATGGTCAATGAAAGAGAGGCGCGCATAAAAGGAGCTTTTGAAGATATTGAGAGTTATTTGGATGACTACATGGATCTTGAGAATCATTAGGTTCATGATATGATGATGGTTGATCATTATAGTCATGATGATGATGATGATGATGATGATGATGAAAGAAAAGGGCGTCATGTAAATCAAACAAATTTGATTTGCGATGTTCTGTCTGAGTTCGATGTTTTGCAGGGAAGCAAAGAGGAGGTGCTTTGCCAAAAAAAATAATAATAATAATAATAAGAGAAGGTGGTAGTTAACAAATATGTTCTGTTTTTTTTTTTAATATTAATTGTTTACACCTTCGTGTCTTACAATGTTACTGAGCATCTTTTCTGTTACAAATTGAATAAAAGTGGAAAATAATGCAAATATTCTCCGCATTTGAATGTAAAATTGCGTTTTCTTTAATTGTTTTAACCATTATCTTCGTTTATTCGAAACAATGGATCTATTATATATATACCAATTTGAAAACAATTTGTTAACTAATTAGATTCTCTTTAGATTTTATTTTTAATATATGCAGAGAATTTGGTACTTATTCCAACTTGTTAGGAGTGAAAAAAGATATGGGCAACCGAGTTAGCAAATAGAGGAAAATAAAAACAGAAGTATATAAGGTAATCAAAAAGCTCTTGACAAAGAAAAAAAGGTAATCAAAAGGCAAAAATGGAAAATATTTTCAAAATCTTTTCAGATATGATGAAAATATATAACTATTTCATTCCTAACAGCAATGTATTATTAATGTGTTTATTAAATTATTTTTACGATTTATAACATATAAATTTTACATAAACATTTGTGAATATAATTTACATTATGAAAATCTTTTAAATATTTTTACATTAAGAAATTAAATGTAATTCACATCTTATATAATCTAATAATATCTTAAAAGGTTAGAAAATTTTATTTTATAAGAAAATATACAATATAAAAATTATAAAATAAAGAAAATGTGGTAGTGTAATATAGAAAGAAATGTATAATAATTTCTAAAAAAACGAAACAAACAATTTTTTTGAAAAGAAAAGAAAATATAAAAATTTGAAAACTGTAAACTCAAACAAAAATAAAAGAGGGAGTTTTACAATTAGAATAATAATTTTATAGAAGTATTATTTGCATTTATATATTTAATATGTTTTTCTATGGATAGAGGAATATATACTGCTAACTACGAATAAAATTTTTACCAGGTTAAGATATAATGTTTCCAAATATTACAAGACAATATTTTGTTAACATTATTTAAAAAATAATTTATTTATAATTTAGAAGAGGGATATTATTTTTTTAATAAGAAATAGTTATATGCATTATATAAAATATTCATAATTAAAAGTGTAGGGTCAGAAAATCCAATAATTACATATAAATTATTTAAAAATTGATTGAAATCACATGAATAAAATTATTTAATCAAATATTACAATAATAAAAACTGAATGAGAAAATATTTTTACATATTTATCATTTAAAATGATTTTAAATAAAAATAAAATCACATTAAGGATGGATGTAAATATTGAATAAGCATAGTTTTATAAAACGAACTTTAAACCAAAATATTTATCGTGAAATTTTAATTTTTTCGACTATTCCTTTGGTGGCGCAGGACATACGCAGGAAAAGACAAAGAAGCAGGTGATATTTCCTTTTTGTTCCACTATAATATATTATTATTGTTGAAATTCATAATATTATCATATTATATAAAGCATTCTATATTGTATATATACACGCATATTTAACCAAATGATTGATTATTTTGATTTAGACGTTAGTAAACCTTTCTTTGTATTCATTTCTATTATATAATATATTTTTATTTGCTATTCAATGTATCTATTATCAAATTTTTTTTTCAGACATTGTTAATTCTACAAATGTGGAATAATAATCTTGTTTAAGTTACAATGTTCAAATTTATTTCGTTTATAATATTTAAAATGTAGAAATATTATCAAAGTCATCCAATATTAGGTACTAATAAAAGAAAACATATTTTATAGACATAATGATATGCCTAATCTTCTTTTTTATATTAAATCAATCAAAACTACATTTTGCGAAAGAATCTATTTTCACGATGATATTACTAGTTACACCTTATAAGCAATGCCATTTATTTATTTTAACTGATTATTTTATCTTTATGACATTTTTTTGCTAGGTTCTTTAACCAAATCGATTCAATTGATTGATTTTTGTATTTTTTTGTTTAAATTAACATTTCAAATTTTTTTGAAGTATATTAGAATTTAAATAAGTAGAATATCAATATTCACCTAAAACAAAATGAAGAGCTGATATAGATGTTTCAACATCTTTACCCATTAACTAGAGATCAGTGGTTCTCTACTATGAGAATGGAGCAATCTTCTAATCCAATGCTTTACCGCTTAATGCACTGATCTAGAGACGAATGGAGATTATTTTGAATGTGTTAGGCTTAATGATATAGATTTACAGTTGAACGTCATTCAGGATACTTCGTGATATATTCAAAAAAAAAATATTCATCTAAAACAGTTAATCTAATTTATATTAAATCAAATGAAAAGTTTTTTAATATTTTAAATTCATATTTCGAAAAATTATTTTAAAATATTAATCAGATATTTTTTTTGAATATTATCATATACAAGATATAGTGTCTTACATTCTCTCAAGTCTCAAGCATATAAAATCAATAAAAAAATATTAAAGTGTCTTCCCATATACCCAGAAGACAAAAGTGAAAAAATATATTTTAAATTTTGTTTGGCTTTTAAAGTGTTTAGTGTTTTCCCATGCGAAATCCCATATTTAGAGTTAAATATCAATTTATGTGCGAAATTCGATATCTTCGATTCCTCGAGTCCACTAAGGAACTTTCCAAGAGCACGGTTTTGGCGCGCGCGATTCCTCGAGGCCACTAAGGAATAAATTTGGATACTTATACCAAGTTCATGGCATAAAATAAACCGACTATTATCCTTAATAACATTATAATATAATGGTATTATGATCCATTAGACACATTTACATACCTAATTTGACCTAATAAAAAAAATAGATTTAATTTCAATTTGATCTAATTTACATATCTAATTTGAGCATGTTACGGGCGGGCGTCTTTAATGGTGGGCACATGGTGCGACCCTTGACTTGATATTTCTATGCTCCATGACGTGATAGCAATTACAATAATATATATATATATATATATATATATATATATATATATATATA